ACACAACCTCACTTGTCCTGTTTTGTTCTCAGATTTCCAACCAGCATCCTCTCTTTCCTGAAGCTCATTCGGTCTGATCTTGCTGCTGTGCCTGCTGGTGCCTGGAATCCCCCCCTCTTTCTCGGCAATCCCACTGGTTGAAACACCGTGGCCAATGATTTAAGCTTGCTTCGCCGAGCATGGCACTTTAAAAAGAGCCTCCCTTGCTGTTCCGTTCAGTCACTCTTCTTTCCCAGCTGGAATGTTTGCTCCTCTCCTTGTCTGCTGTTCGCCTGTCAAATTAGTGTCAATGCCGCGTTGTGTGACATCTCTTGCTGTCTGTTTGTGATGCCATTGCTACGAGCTCCCTTCTCACCCAGGCTTGTACTCCAATAGATGCCGGATCCTCAGCCTGCCTCGTCTCCGTCAAACGCGCCCGTGCATTCCTCCTCCGACAAACCCGGGCCAAACAAAGGTAGTTCTACCGGCGACAGCCGTGATTCGGGCCCTGATCCCGTCCTGACCCCTTCTACGGCCTCCTTCACTCCGTCTCCACAGCCAGACAGCCATTTAAACACGCCTAACATGCCAGACGAAAAATCTGGCTCGTCCGGAAACAATGCCGACGGCCTAGAAAAGAAGCAGGAAGCTGGCACCGAAACAATGACCCCCAAGACAGACGCGACTCCCGCCTCCTTGTCTACAACGGACAACGCCCCAAAGAAATCTATCTGTAAAAAACACGCTGCCGTCCACGGCTCGAAGTCAGAGAAGTCGAAGAAAAAGAAGAAAGCTGTAGAATCGTCCACCTCCGACAGTGACAGTGACGACGATTCATCCGAAAGTTCTAGCTCATCCTCATCCTCCGATAGTTCGGATTCGGACTCGGAAGACTCTTCGGATTATGACTCTCACAAAAAGTGTAAAAAGAAGAAGAAGAAGAGGGCCAAGGAACGAGCCAAAAAGCTGAAGCAGAAGAAAAAGGCGAGAAAGGACGAAACCTCCACTTCCGAAGATGACAGCGATAGCGATGAAGATGTCTCTTCCGAAGATGAGAAGGCCAAAAAAGCAAAGTTGAGAGCGAAGAGGAAGGCTAGGAAGGCCAAGAGGCTGCAAGAGGCAGAGACGGAAGATGATGGCGATGTGGATGCGGCAGAGACACAAATTCGCGGCACCCAACGTGCAAGAGGAGGTCTCCGTGGCGCTCGTGGACGCAAACTCAAACAGGCGGGCTACATTGACAACAAGCTTCTGGCCGAGCAGACAGCGCAGCAGGCAGCTTTGTTGCAGCAGCAACAGCGGGCTCTGCAAAAGGCCGCTAGAGCCAAGAAGCAGAAGCGAGCTTCCAAAGTAGCATTTAAGCGAATTGATCAATGTGAGTCTTCCACCTCCGGCCATTCTTTACAGTATTCTTATAACCTGTGCTAATGTCAACCTGGCAGTATGGGACAACACCCTTCATAATTACAAATTGACTGAGACTGTGAAGGATCCTGATGCCAATGAATGGGACCAATACATCTTCACTGTTCGTCGTCGATTTGACTGGGATAACAAGTATCTCGAAACGCTTGTCGATATCAAGAGCAAAGCCCTCAAAGATGCCCTTACCCACGTCATGGACGGCGTCAAGAGCGTCAGTCTCGTTCAAGACACTCCTGCCGTAGACCCTAACATGCTATTTCTCTACCTGGAAGAGTGTCGTGCATACGTGAAGGAGCTCAAGGGACTCGCCAAGACCGCCGAAAAGAAGAAAGTGAGGAAGCAGGTAGAGCTGAAAGCATCACACCTGAAAGTGCTAGTCAAATACCTTGACAAGGACTACGCTGAGACCAAGAAAACGTTGTATCCCTTGCTGGAAAACAACACCATCACTTTTGACCTCTTGTGGGCATTGTTCAAACCAAATACCATCGTCTATACCCCCACCTACGGCGCTGCTGACGAGCCTCGTGCGTTTAAACTTGAATATGCTACCAAGGAGAGCTCGTTCATGAAGGGCCAGTGGTACTCAATCGAAGGCCGCTACCTGGAATATGATGGTAAATCTTTTGGCATGGGCACTATGACGAGCGAAGTTGATTTCTTCAAGGGGCCTCGGAAGATCACCAGCCTTGCATGCTACCCAATTCAATATCATCGCGATTCAGAGGCTTTGAAGACCAAACTTGTCGATCGAGGAAAGAAGTTTGTGGCTCTCCAAGGGATGAATTACCGTTTCCACCAAGGAATGGCATTCTTCAAAAAGCGCCGCTCCATCATCAAAGTCAATATCAATGGCCGTGTCATGGTAGATCCCGCGCTGCACCGCCGAATCAATCCAAATTATCCTATCAGTACGGTAAAGCCGAAGGATTCGGATATTCTCGACGGTTCTGGCGATGATACGGATGGCGAGGGTTGTTGCTGCGGGTCTTCATCAGAAACTGAGCGAGCCGGTCGAGATGATATCGCTCCAAAGACCAAGCTCAAGGTTATTCATGACAAGGAGGGTAAGCCTCATCTCGTCGAAGTCGAGATTGATGAAAATGGAAACGAAATCGTGAAGGAGGACATTGACAAAATCAAGGATGGTGCAGCTGGGAACAATGATATCGACTTCACAGAGGAGGAGCTCTTGATCGCCAGCCCAGTCGTTCTAGGATTTGCTTTTAGCGAAAAACTTTGGCTGGAATTTACCGTGTCTGGCATCAGGGAAATTGAATGGAACTCTGGTGCTTTCGACTCCCTAGTCCTTCCTGGCAATCAAAAGTCTATTGTCAAGGCTTTGGTGGAGTCTCACACTTTCCACGCGGCAGAGAATATTGATGATGTTATCCAAGGAAAAGGCAAAGGGCTTGTCGCCGTCTTGCACGGTCCCCCCGGAACTGGAAAGACTTTAACTGCAGAAGGCATCGCCGAATTACTCAAGCGTCCTCTGTATATGGTCAGTGCCGGAGAGCTCGGTACCGATTCGCGTACACTCGAAGGAGAATTGAACAAGATCCTTGACATTGCCCATTCCTGGGGTGCCGTTCTTCTTCTGGACGAGGCAGACGTGTTCTTGGAGAAGCGGACAATTCAAGATATTCACCGGAATGCCTTGGTTAGCATCTTCCTGCGATTACTCGAATACTTCCAGGGCATTCTTTTCCTCACAACTAACCGCGTTGAAACATTTGATGATGCATTCCAATCGCGCATTCACGTTGCTTTGCGTTATGGCGACTTGACGACCAAAGCCAAACGCACCGTTTGGAAAATGTTCCTTGACAAGGTTCGCACGAAGGAGGGTCTTGAGGTGGTTAAGTTCACCGATAAAGACTACGATACCCTAGCCAGGCATAATCTCAATGGTCGACAGGTAAGCCACCGACCCATTGTCTATAGTATTTGTTTGAAATTGTAACTGACCTGCTTTCAACTTTAGATCAAGAATTCCGTTCGAACTGCGCAAGCACTTGCCCTTAACGAAAAGGCTGCATTGTCCATGGAACATATTAATCGCGTTCTCGATGTTGCTGAGACCTTTGAACACGACCTCAAGGGCGGAACGGGATACATGGACGCCATGCGAAGCTATACTTAAAACTACCCTTCTTATAACGCCCTCCCGCATACAATTCAACCCCCCAGGACGATCGGGGTACTTGATACTTATGTTAGAGTATTCGATATCACACCTTTACAATCTCCCCTCAAACCTATTAATCACTCCAGGGCTCTCCTTGGAAATCGTATCCGCCATATCCAATGTTCCACGTTTTCCCCTAATAACCTTGGGTCAGAAATCGGTCAATGGAGCGCCTCTCTGTCCATGCTTTCGATCTTCAAGTTTCACTTCTATTTGTTTGTTCTACTATCCTACTGCGTATTATTCTTCCTTCTATGATGTTCAAATCCATGATTCTGCTTCCTTTCTGCTTGCTTTGCTTGCTTTGCTTGCTTGCCTACATGTCTCCTCGCCTTGCCTTGTAGTCTGAATGGGATCGGGAAATGGGAAATCGGAACGGAGAAACGGGGAATTTGTCATTTATGTTTTCTACCTGGGCTGTCCTCTTCCTTTCTCGTTATTAGTTGTACACGATGAACTGAATTTGTCCTGTTCTTCTGGGCTTCCACTATGTTGACCTTCCATTTCGAGTTGTGAGATTTGATTTGACGTGGATGATGACGACACTGATGATAATTAAGATAGCTTACCCTTTCTTCAACTGAAATAATATAATTTGATTCTTCTTTGATTTCAAATGAAGTGAAGCAACTTGAAGTTGTTGCTTTGATTGGTTAAAAATGGGCCATTGGCCATGGTGGATCAAGTATCGTTCCAATTTGACAATGTGCTGCGGAATGTTATGGACTGCTTTGATGGGAGCACTTAAAGCTGAATTCGGCGAAGTAGCTGATATGGTCCGGGCTTCGGAGATTCGAATACTCAAAGCTGGACGGTTTGGAAGCCATGTCATTATTGTCAGGGCAACGCGCAAGACTACAAGGGATTGAAGCCTGCGCCCATAAAACAGGCTCTGCCACAGTGCCTTCAGAGCAGTCTTACAGATTAACCCATTTTCTTGAGCTCTATATTACGGAAGATATCTCAAAGGGTGTCAATGCTAAAGAAGTGAAGGTCAATGACGCTCTTTATGCGGAGGAGAACTATATAAATGGCAATTTCAACGAGGAGCCATACTAGGTTGATTCACCCAGGGCATATTGTCAATATGTTTCTCCAAACTGCTAAAATTATGATTGTGTGCTCACATAGACGAGCTAGGGTAGTAGTGAGATAGTAGGAGGGAGAGATATAGAATATTAGCTCATAGGCCTTCCTAGCAAGTTTCTATCTGTTGTTAGCGATCAGATTCTAGGTATCGAATACTGATGATATTGAAGAGGTGGGTCTTCTGGCCTTAGATATATGTGAAGTGTTCACTCACTTTTGAACTGTTTTGAACACTCCTCCCAACAGCACTTTACTTGGACGCGTTTCTGTTCATGAGAGCTGTCATCCCACTATAAAATCTCTAGAAAGCTCACTTTGCTTTCTTCCTTCTCTTCCTTTCCTACTTCTTTTTCACCATCACTACCAAGCCTCCCCTCACCCTTTGACAAGCACCCTCGACAGCACTTTCATCTTCAATCTTTCCCACAGCTTTTATTTTCATTATCAGCTTTGAGAATCTTGTTTTTGTGCGACAAGATGTCGAGTTTTACCGCTATCAACCACCCGGGTGTCGTGGACCCAGCTGCGAAAGGGGACGATATCGAGGCTACTACTGCAAGCGACGTGCCTGATATCAAAGCAGAAGAAAATGAAGAGGAGAATATGGCACAGCCGGAACCAAAGGGCAAGAAGGTATGCCACTTTTATTTGTCATCGTCGCAGTTCATAGCTGAAAGCTTTCATTAGGCAAAAGAAACCAAAGTCCCTACTACCCCACGCAAGCGTGGTCGCAAGCCTGCAGTTAAAAAGGAAGCATCTGCCATCAAAACCGAGAATAGCGATGACGACACCAAGGAACACCTTGACGAGGATAGTCCTCAAAAGAAAGCAAAGTCGACGCCTGGTAAAAAGGGTCGTCCAATCCCGACATCCTACGACGCGGCTTGTGAAGAAGATAAGATGCTTCTTCGCCTTAAAGACCAGGAGAACAAGACCTGGGCTGAAATCGCAAGTGCCTGGAAAGAAATGACAGGTGAAGCGGCCAAAGGTACCACTCTTTCAACCCGCTATATGCGCATCAAGGCAAATTTTATTGTGCTCTCCAAGGAGGATGTAAGTTCATCTTTTTCTTTTATATCTCCTAGCTCGGTTTGCTGACTCGAGTGTTGGGGCTTAGGAGGCCGCCCTGCTCAAAGTCAAGAAGGAGATTGAGGATAAATTCGAGAGTGAAAAATGGCAGCGCCTGGCAGAAGCCCTGGAGCAGGCTAGCGGAAAGAAGTTCCCGCCTCTTACTTTGCAAAAGAAGTTCAAAGAATTGGACAAGAAAGGAGTCAGTGATGAGATCTTCTAGCTGTTTTTCAGGCCATTTCAACAGGAGGCACTGTTGGGGCAACGAGCCGTTCAACTTGGTAGGTTGCGTTCTGTTGAAAATTTAGGTCGGCGAGATGGTCTCAGGAAATGATCAGGACAGTTCACGTTGAATATTTTGTTTCCAGGACATGAGTGTCTTCTAATACAGCGACGTGGTGGACGGTGCAAGTTTGGATGAAGTCGCGATGCGATGCAAATGTGGTCAAAGTGTCCTTGCGTGAAACTTGAATACAGGAATATTACCAGCCCCTAATCCTTTCTATGAGATTCGTTAAATGGTGCTAAACACTAGGCTTGAGTAAGGGAGAGCTGCCCCAGGCTATGCCCAAAGCCCCATCCTTACGGGCCCTGTAATGTGATTTCGGCCAAGCTTACAGTAGTTAATCCGGGCTTACTAGCACAAATAGCCTCTTCACCTTCTTTTCTCCCGCGAAAATCTCAGCCCTGTTCATCCTCAAACATCCTGCTTTTGATATGATTGCCAGAATCAATCTGCAAGCTGCAATGGCTGGAATCACTTCTGATCACTTGCATTAACGGTGCCGATAGCCAATGGTTTGGCGAAAAGGAACTCCTTGACCACTCCCTCATGGCTATGCTCCTAGATTCAAAACTCTTTTCAGGCATCCCGCAAATATGCATCGTTGCAAAAATCCCTCAGCGAGCCTTTGGTGCTCCCGGCACTGCTTGATGACTGGGAGTGAATGAAGCCATTGAGATTGGAGTCCTGATTTTGAGTGGTAAGCCATACTATCTCCCGCTCATGACGGGTTTGAGTTTCAACTAACTAACTGCCCAGACGAGTCGAAGCCTCGCTTGTTTTTCGGCCTTTTGCATGGCCTCTCTTCACCAGGTCTCTATGGATGCACGTTATTTTGCGCCCAGAAATTTTAAATGTCGTCAATGGCGCCGCTATTCAAGGTTCCGATGGCTGAACAATGCTCTTGCAGGCTTTGCAGCGGACTGAGCGAGCGCAAGAACCCTAGCTTGCATTCTCATTAACTCTAGATACGATGGAGCAGACGATGTTCTGACCCTGATGCATAAGATAAGGCCGAAGCAAGCTTTTGACTAAAGAGAAGAGAAGCCTGCAGCTTCTTGAGATATTGCGATACGATTGGCTTATGCAGGTTGGGTGAGCGTGGTCCTGCACGAAAGATGCATTCAACCCCTGGATTACCTGCTGCAATTCGCTGAAGTCAGGGCCTCGATCGAGCCTTTCGGGATATCCAGCTGAGCAAAGGCCCACGTTCTCAGCCCTGTGTGTTAGCGAACTTGGTCACGCCGACGCATCGGAGGATTGATATCACTCCAGATTCGTTTCTTCTCTGGAGTAAGTTCCAGCGAAAGTGTCGAGCATGCACTTTTGCATGTTATATTTGCTTCTTCTCGCCTTGGGATGCGGACACACGCCCCGTGATAGATGCCGGTTTGTTGCGCTTACTGTGGCGCAAGAGGGCTTGATGTCTGTTGTGGAATCATCAGCTTGACGAGAATCGGTAACGACTGGCTGTCTGCGCTGGTCAAGGCGGGGCAGAGATGCAGGACGTTCATGTGCCGCAGCTGAACTTCACGATGACAAAGGGTGGACATGTATAGGAGAGCGGAGCACATGGAACAGGTACATTTACCGAAGTCACCCGAACCGTTGTGGGATATAAAACGGCTTTAGGATCCCAATTGAGGCCGACTTGCGATTCAGTTGCAATCAAACACTCTATTCACGCTCTAAGTCAATCGCTGCCATGGCTGATATATTCCTCATCAACCCCAAGAAAGATTCCGAATTCAAAGCTGGGAAAAATGGCATTACATTTCCCAATTCCTTTCCTATTCAAACTGCTCGAAAATATATCGCACTGCAATTCCCAAACCTTGAAGAGCGCCAGTTGAATCTTTACGCTACGCTTCTTAACGAGTGCTACTTCAACTACGACCATGGCCGCACTGCTGAACCTCCCTATGCTCGATGGATCATTTTTATCCGATGGGTGCAACATGCTCACGGCCTCACCGGTGACAATCGAATCATCAACGGAGTGGACCAATGGAATATGAAGAATTTCGCCAAGTATTACAATAAATATGTCAAATTTTTCTTTCGCATACCGAAGAAAACCGGCGAGCTGGGCTGTTTTTCAAATCTGCGCCGGTACCAATAAAGTTGAACCGCGGATTCTCTTCGAAGCTGTGAGGAGCGGCACTCGATTCAGGGTTGTTCAAATGAAGCCCTTGATAGGCCCAAACGGAGAAACATACTCGGGTTCTGGGACTACACCTATAAATCATCATGTTTTAGCGGCGTCTGTGGTGGCGGCTGCAGCCTCTGTTGCTGATAAGCCCTTAGCTGCAAATATCGGGGATGGCGAAGATGACTCCCCAGTGCCGCTGAACCCAGCTATCGACGACGGCGATGTTGATGATGATGGAATCCTTGACGAGCATGTCGATTTTCTCAATGACATAGATGATGACGACTTCGGTGACGAGGATGATACTGGCGGTTCGGGTACTTGGGTTGGTGGCAATAGTGGAACAGCAAAAGGTCGCCTGCCACCGAATACCCAGAGCGGATTTGGAGGGGTTGATGTGTCCTGCGCGGTTTTCGACCCCTCTGCCGTGAGGACCAATCTCTTCAGATTTCCTATCGATGACGGGACTGCCTGGACAGACGTGGGTAGTGGCCCCAGTGGAGACTCTACTTACACTGTCCCAGGTTATATGACCTTCAGCTGGGCTTCCACTTCTACGTCTATGACGATAGCCGGCGAAACAAAAACAAAATTTATCCAAGAGCTCTCGAGAACTCTCAATGTCGGTGCTGATTTTGCTGGGTTTGGTGGTGAATTCAGCCGTACATACGATGATTCCTCGAAAGTAGAAACGTGGAAGAAATACATGGCCACATACCATCAGACGCTGATTTACCGGTTGGGTTTCAAGGACATTGACCAAGCAAAGACCTACCTTACGGAAACAGCCACAGAGGCGTTTAAGTCCTGGTCAGCGGAAAAAATTATCCATACGTTTGGTACGCACTACATGATATCGGCCACCTTTGGTGGTATTCGGATTACGTCGTCCTCTCTTGATGTTCGTGACAATATCAAAGACACTAAGCTCAAGACTGCTATTGAACTAAAGGTATAATCACTTTTATTAAATGCACCTGGCCTTTCCGAGCCTTCCTGTCCATAATCGCCCTTTACTTTGTCGCCTCACTAACGGTTAGCAGGCATCCTTTTCTGGCCCCGAAACGGAACTTGATGCGAATGCGAAAAACAGTAGCAAGGACCAAACCGTCCAACAGATTATGAGTAAGATGGAGCTTGTACGCACTCGCACCATCGGCGGTGTGGCAGATGATAGCAATGTCCAGGCGTGGCGGAACTCCCTCTATTCAAATCCGGTTGTTGTCGATTATGATATTCGGCCCATTTGGGAGCTGATCGACGACCAGAATCTGGCCGGGCAAGTGAAAACCCAGGTTAACGCCCTACTGACTGCAGCTCAGCCATATGATCCTTGCGAGATAATGGCAATGTACGTCCCAATAAAGAAGTACGCCGATGATCGGGGTAGTGGGGCCAACTATGACCTTACTCTGGCTGTACCTGATGTTCCTGAAGGCTGGCTTGAGCTATGCCAGTACTCCCAGACCGGCAAATGGAATGACACATTCAACGGCGCCAATAACAAAGGAATTGCTATTCGGATCAATCCTAACAGAACCGTTGATAGAGATGGCGACGGTAAAATCGATGGAAATCAACCGCCTGCAGTGATGGGAGCTACAGGCCTTGACGTTCTCTGGCAGCATTGGAGGTCTGACAGAAACTTTGCAGTGTACCGTCTCAGAGGGCCAAGTGCCGACTACGCGGCTATTGGAGATATCTTTGAGAACCAGTGTGACCCTAACGCAGTTCAGCGCAGGCGCTATGCCGTACTTCACAGTCGCGTGCTGAATAAATGCAGCGTGAATACCGGCAATGCAAATGATGGCCTTCGGCTCATGTGGAGTGACCAAGGTTCGGGTGCCGGAGGCAATGTGGTCCTGGTTGCGCCGCCACCAGGCTCATGCCAACTTCTGGACGAGAACGGTAATGTGAAGGATCTGCCCGTATTCGTGAATGATCCAGCAACTGGGATGGGGTATCCGTTTTACGGCTGCACTGTCGGAGACTATGATGATGCATTTGGAATCATCGCAAGTATGCTGGACTGGTCAAAGGTCAAGTGGCTGGAGTCTGAATGGCTTGGTGCCCCTTGAGAGATGGACTTAAATAGCAGAAGGGTATGAACGCACCTTTTTATGATATATCTCGGGTAATTAATCTATGTCTAAATGATTTTGACTTCGTTTTGTGTTTGTTTTTGTTTAATCCTCATCTGCATACTACGGGAACCTCTGTGAGAGAAGGCCTAGAAGTGCTATTTCAAATCGGACCCCAAATTCCAACTGCGAGCCAGTTTGTTTACCGGCCATTCTTCGGGTTTAAGTCCATATCAACATATCCTCAGCAGATCTAACTAGTTACACTATGTGTACTCAGAAGTAGCAATTTGCTTGCTGTGTTTGATCTGCATGATACCCAAACTGACACTGATCGAGGGTCACACAAGTCTATTCCCCACGCCATGTGTCCCGGAATCACGCATCCTACTGGGTTCATTCTTATGATGCACACCGGGTTTAATTCCAGGTTGTTACCAGACGATCGAAGGCCGGCAAGTCGCAGCGTTTTACCCTAGCGGTGCAGCACTACAGATGGAAAGGTTACAATGAAAGCAGCTTCAAGCCTGTACTTGATTGCCCATTACGCTCTTTGTGAGTTATGGATTCTCGATAGTTGGTCAATCGGGCGTTGAAGGTGAGCAGGGAAAAGTGAGACAGATTGCCATTATGGCATGAAGCCATTACTTCTCCATGGCGTTTCCTACTTTTACAAGATCATCCAGATATTGGGGGGAGCTAGATATTGTTTGCTATTCTCTTACTTATCGAACCTCGTGGTCATTTCTTGGATCCCCGTGGTCAAGCAGCAACTTGTGAGAGTCGAGAATGCAATGTTTGCTTCCAACACTGCCAGGTTTGGTCATTCCATGTTGCTTAAATGATTTTGGATCCGTTTATATTAATGGCGCCGGGTGTCGACATTCCGTTCACGCTTTTTCTTTTATCTGCTGACTATTTCTAGTTCTACCATCTAGGGCGTTGGATACCAGCCCACGGTCGATCCAAGCAGGCATTTTTTCATATCCCTCTCACGTTCGACTTGTCTATTTTCCAAGATATCAGGGGCATCTTCAACATGGCACTGGTCCGCAGGTCTCGCCCTTCCTGCGATTTTCGTCCTTCCTGGACGAGAGTCGGAGCAATTCCCGCACACGAAATCATTTACAGATACATCCCAGGAATCTTAAACTTTTCGCGCCCTCGATCGTCTGGTCGACTTGAAATCGACCTAGAGTCACTCTTCGCGCAAGCGCCCCTTTTAAGGGCTGGAACGCTTGAGCCGGGCTTATACAACCGCTGCCTGAACGAGCTCCTCTCAGCACTCTACAAGCTCCAATTCCCCATCCCACAGCTTCGCATAATGGAGCCCCTCATGGAGAAAGCCAGGAGACTCTACCCAGGCGACTGGGAAAACCTCCTCTGTACCTTTGCCTGCTACGGCGACCTTCTCGACTCAGACTGCCTCAACGCATCTCCCGAACTCTGCGACGATTTAAGCGACTACATCCTGCACAAACTCACCAAGATCGCCACACAAGCCCCGCTGTCTGTCTCGCTGAGCTTCGTCGATTTACTCGAGGAAGACCAGTTTCAGAACGGCATGGCGATCCTCGTGGACCAGGTGCGGCAGCGCCACAGGGACTGGGCCAAGCTGAGGGCCTCGCAGGGTCAGATTCTGCTGCGGTTGTCGAATCAGCCGTCGAAGCGGATCATGCGGTATGTGAGGGAGCGGCAAATGGCGGATTTAGTGGAGGAGGAGGAAGAGGCAGTGTATAGGTCTGCGGCGTTTGGGTTGCCGTTTGATTTTGGTCGGGCCAATAGAAATCGCTTTGAGAACCCTTACGATTCTGATAATACTGTCGAATTTCGTCGGATGCGGAGGGAACGGAGGAAAAGGTATCATGATCCTAGGGGTGTTGGGTTTATGTTTGGAGAAATCTGAAGCATCTCATCCTTGAGAATTATAAAGAGCTTGAGGATTAGTTTCATTCATTTCGTTATTCGCCATTGATTAAAGACCACTTAGCGATATATTTTCGGCTGCACTGAATATGATATATATTCGAATTTACGAGTCATCGTGGAGATCGTTTAGAATAGGATTTTAAAGATTCTTCCATCGCAAAAATGCATCAGATTCAGTACTGTCGGGGGAATATACTTCTACATTCACAGCAAAAAAAAAGCAGGAAAAGATAACCTCCCCCCCAGTCACCACCCCCAATACCGTTCCGAATAAAAAGCAAACGTAGGTTAAAAAACAGCAAGAAAGCAAAGGGCAAGAAAACCGCATACTCGTACATAACCATATTGGGTACTTTGTGAGAAAGAAAAGGACAAAGAAAGGGTCATATCGTCGTTAAAAACATCCTTAAAAGGAAAAAAAACCATGCGAATTTACATGCGTAAATTCTTCATTCTTTCGCTCGGGGGATCCTCTTCATCAAGGCTGGTGGAGTCCTTGCTAGTCGGCCTCATTGGCTCTTCACCTCCGTCCATAGACCCCCTTCGAGTTGGTCCATCGGTGTACTGCCTGCTGGATGCAGCAGGTCGGACCTTTGTCCCCACAAATCCACGGCGATCTCGCCCGGTACGTCCCCTGCCCAGCCAGTTGTGGGTAACGGCCTTTCTAAGGTCTTCAATTTGTCGCTGGGCATGGTCGTCCGTATGGACGCCGGCGATGACGCAAATGCACTGAAGAACCCGACCAACAGTCTCTGTGACCACGTGAGAGGCGTCCGTAGGCCTTGAGAAGATGGAGGACTGGAAAACAGGGTGGTCGGGGTTGGAAGAGGTGTTGGATTCGGCGCGTGCACGAGACGTGGTTAGGTGAGATTCTGACGAGTGGCTGCCGGTGGCATTTAAGGCCGTTGATGACTGCGAGTTGAAGCTTCCTCCCTCAAGAGCTTGAGCCGTCCCTGGCCGACTAGCACCGCTGTTTGAAGAGGTTCCTAGAAGACCAATGCTTGCGTTAACTCGTTCCAAGCTTAGGCGAGAGAAGATGGTTTTTAAGGTCTCGTATCGGTTGAGAATAATGTTATCACGAAACGAAATGAGGATAATGTCGTTAACGTTCAATTTCTCTCCAGCTGAACCGCCGCCAGGCATAGTGCCCCAGAATTCTCTAGCTTCATGAGGTTCCATAATTTTGCCGCGCCCTTTGAATTCGAGGTCAAGTGGGAAGAAAACGGCTTGGATAAAAGGGACGATATTTCCGTAGGTATATGTCCAAACTTGCACTAGATGATGCATAAGGTTTTCATCTGGGATAGAGCTGAGAGTTTGGTTGAGAGACGCGAATCCCGTCTGCAAAAGGTCACGTAAATCTTCAACGAGCACGTTGGGCACACGTCTCTGGAATGAGCGTAAAATGTGGACGGAAACGAGTTTGTTGAGGTCTTCAATTGCGATTCGAACTTCTTCGCCTTCGAAAAGCACAAGGAGTTTGGCTTTAAGGAAATCCCACGCGTCTTCAAATGCCATATTTGCAATGCCGAAACTGCCTAGAGCTTCCCTCATGGCTGCTTCTTTGCTCTGAATCGAAGCTCCAGGAACACCGGTTCCAATAAACGTGGACCAAGCAGCAACACCGGTTCCCAAACTGCCGGAGAAATCAGGCTGGTCATTGCCGGCAGCGTCATGTGAGGCTGAAGCTTTTTCCTCCATTTTCCTTTTTTCACGTAACGCTCTACCACCGTGACGAAGGTCCAAACCACTGACAGACTTCCCGAACGACGTTGAGGAGGGCGAGGACGGGGTAAACGAGTATAGGGATTGAGGAGCACTAGGGTCGAGGGGTCTCGAGTTGCTGTTCGCAGATGAGAGGGGTAAATGGAAATGATCGTCTTTATCCTTCAACTTGAGTTTTGGACGTGGCAGGAAGTGATGTCGATGCTTCTCTTTGTCCTTTTCCTTTTCCTTCTCGTTGGTGGATTGCTTCTCAGTAGGGACAACAGTGGCAACAGAAGAGTTTGTGAAGGTGTAGAGGGAAGAATTGCTGGAAACAAGAGAATCATTCAAGCTGGTTGTGGACGCGTTCACCATGCGTGACAACCCGCTTGGGCCTAGCTTGCTCGGCGAGGGGGTTGGTTTCTCACGGCGATCACTGTCTTTATCTCTTGAAATCCCAATGTGTTTTGGCTTCAGGAAGGACTTCATCTTTGACTTTTCCTTCTCTCCCTTTTGCTTTCCGCTGGTGCTCTCCTGAGCCGGGGTTGAGGCTGGTGGGGCATGTTGAGCTCGAGGAAACACGAGGTTTGCTGCAGTGGTGGCTGCAAAAGCGCGTCCTCCAGATGACCCGCTCTGATATTGCGCTACCCCGGCAGGAGAACCCTTTTGTGTCACTGCACCCGCGTCCTGATGCGGCGGAATGGTTGACGATCGATTGCGCAATTGCTGGGACGACACTTGATGCTGCATTGCGGTTTGGGCTGCAATCCTCGAGGCAGACATGGGCGCCATGTTCGCGGGTGTGTGTTCTGACATGGACGCGGTGGGGAGACTAGGTTCGAAAAATCCTTGAGAATGTTGACGGCGATGCCTCTGCGGGTCGTTCGTCAGTGCCAACGGAGACGGTCTTCTTTGAATCGGCTCATTTTGAGGCATCAACGAGGTGGAGGAACGCAAAAAATTGGGAAGAGAGGCGTTGCTGCTATTCGCGCTGGCGATACCCGCCGAGGCCGATCGAGAACCGCTAGGACTAGGTATTTGAGGGCTCAGATTATACAGAGATCGCTTCGGGATATTCAGGGGCGGCAAGAATGGCGGATCGGAGGGGTTGCTGCCAGAGGAGCTAGGACGTGGAGGTTGGTCTGTTGGTCTGGTGTGCTCTGGGGAGGCGGGCCCAGCAGAGCTCACATCCCCGCGTTGGCGGCCCGTCGAGCCTGTGCGACTGCTCCTCATGGCGGCGGCCAATTGGCCCAGAGGCTACAACGGGGGAAGAAACTGCAGAGAAGAGGAAGAAAACAAGCAAGCAGTGACAAACGTGAGACTGTGCAGCGCGAAATCTAAGCCGACATGCTGAGCAGAAAGAGAATAAAGTGAAGCCGTGATGAAGGGCGATGCGACTGTTGTTGGAACTGACTAACCGCCAGGACCACGCTAGCCGACTAGCGCATCTGTTAGCGTTCAGCCCTATCTCCAAACGCCGAAAGTTAGCCGGAATTTTGTTTCTGCGACGGGCCGATCTGTTCCAATTGTTCGCTGGTGAAGGAGGAGAAGAAGATGTCAGGTATGGTCTATACGGGCTACAGGATACTAGGCTCTTTGACGGATGTGGCTAGGTACGGGCCAGTGGCCAGGGAGGAGTACTGCAACTATGGCGGCAAAATTGAGATCTTGGCCCGGTTGCTGGGGGGAAGAGTCAGGTGTCATCGTGGGGGCCTTCATCCCTTGAAAGGGTATTATACCCTGGCGGCCTAGCAAAAGGGCCAACCTATATAGTATACAGCTGCGGTAGAAGTTGCCGCTGGATCAGGAAGAATCACGGAGTAGCTCGGAGACCGGGGAAACCGTTGATCCGTTGCTGACTGTTTGGTGCTGATTCCCCGCGGTTGACGGTCAATAAACTGCTCCGTGTCAACGTCTGCGGTCTTCATCGTGCAATTTAATCCAGACATTGCTTCTAGCCTGCCATTAACCATGGCTCCTCCACCAAACACCCCTGCAAACAAGCCATCCGTCCTGAAAGCCGTATACTCAGCCCCCGCCGCCTCATCCCCGTCGGATACAAGCCAAACCGAGCCCGCAATCCACCACACAATTCAACATGAGCTCTCCGCCTCGCTCTCGTCACACACCGCAGACGAAACCACTAGCAAAACGGCGTATCTCTCTGAGCTTAGGCGTGCTGTAACCTCACTACAGAACGAAGTCAACACGTATCTCACGGCACGAATGGACGAGGACAGTGCGAGGGCAACGGGCACTGGAGGAAAGGACGAGATTGGCCAAGAGGAGAACTATGGAGAGGAGGTAGCGAATGAAGAGGATGAAGATTAGATTTTTGACATTCATAATACACTATAAAGGCCTTGGTTGAGAGTCGGGATTGGCACCAGCATCGGCAGCAAGTGTTAACACAGTCGGGTATCAATTGGATTATAAACAATCGCAATACACTCCAAATCAGGAACCTATATACAGCCGCCGAATGCCACGCCACCGCAAGACGACCTGTCACCGAAATGTGCAAAGAACGCCGTCACAAGTGAAGCCCAAACAATCCCACATGGGAAGTGTCCTTCAAACGCCAGAGTTTCGTCTATTAACGCAACCAAGATGTACGACCGTGTTACTACTTGGGGTCAGCAAAGCCGGCCTCCAATCCAGACTCGACAGCATGGCGACACTTACTCTGGAAAAACGCTGATGACGCTGCCACCTAACCGCTTGTGACAGACACCACACATCCTTTCCTCTGTTACCGTCACGAATCGATTCCTGCCTCTATTCCCACCAACAAGTCCGTCCCCCAGCAGTAAATCAGCCTCGGTATTGATGTTTTGCACTTTCCTGAGCGCTGCAACGATTCTGCCCTCGTTCACAACAGAGTTCTCTGCGCGTATTCTTCCACGAAAGTAGAACTCGAGCTCATGGACAGGAAAGGCCTCGGGTATCAAGTCTAACGTGGAGCTGGCAGGCAGGCGGGAACCGTGTTTTACAAGGATTTCAATCGCAGGTCCATATTGGGGCTCATACCCGTGTGGTGGGGATAAGTAGAGAGATAGGAGGGTGTGGTATATGGAAGGATGACGTTCGTCGTGGTCTGTGGGGGAAATCTTGTGGATTTTATCGGGTACGATGGCATCGGGATCCTCAGCTAAATATATCTGATTGCAGTAGCTACAGATGAAGTTAGCTTCTGTCCATTCCAATTGATGTAAACTGCCAAATACTCACTCTTCGGCTTTCTGCGAATCGTTCAATTTAAAAACATAGATTTCTAGGGCTTGTTTGTGTTGGCCCATCTTACTAAATATAATAGCCCTAGCCTCGAAAAAGTCTGGGTCTATCCCGCATGACGGATGACGGATTAGCTCAAGCTTATCGTCAAAGATATCGGAGCATACGTACCTTCTCGAGGAAGACGATCTAACATCTTCGCCGGCGAATATTGAGCACTGGCCTTTAACATATCCAAAAACTTCTCCTTACAATCCTCCCATTCGTTCTCGCTCCCAAATTCAGTTGCTTCTTTCCCTTCTTCCTGGTCTTCTTTCCACTTCTTTAGCCTTTCTAGGTACAACAGCAGTAAGCGGTGGTGCAGATCCGGAGTCATATCGTTCAATTCTCCAATGACATGTTCCAAATATTTGATCGCAAGCTTCGAATCGATCCCTTGCAAAAAGTCCAACACCTTCTCCCTCGGCAACGTTTCTGCATTCTCCGTATCAGCTAGGAAGATGTCCATTCCTAGCTCCGGGTCTGCTCGAAGCGGCCATTCCGCAAATTCGAGAATTAAATCAATCATTTCTGGTGGAAGGTTTTGCAGGTAGGTAATCGTCCGTCTTGGCCCAAGGAGCTGCGGCGCACTCTCTTCCTCTTTGTCAGCTTGACCGAATTTTCGGAGACGTTCAAGTGCGGGACGGTGCAGTTTTTTGCCAAAGAGGAAATCGATAAGTTCATTATATCGACCCGTCTCTTCCAGCTTTTCCATGACCACATCAGGTTCACAGAAGTTGGCTATTCGGAATAGAGAGCCCGCTAGGGACGGTGTGGCGTACATGTGCGCTCGGAAAAGCGTTGTGTCGACGAGAGAAGCGGTTTCCCGCAATCGGCTGCCAACATCGACATCTTTATCATCCGAAAGATCAAGAATGCTTATCACAGACTTGGTGAACTCATCCGATTCCCCATTATCGAAAAGGTTAGATACCTTCGCGCTTCCATCTGGGTTCAGGAACCTTTGAAGCCTGCGGCGAATATCTGCAAGAAAGCCTTGTAATTCGTATACAGCACCTTTAAGATCCTTGCCTTCTATGCCAAAGTTAGTACGGGATATATGAATCAGGTGACATATACCTACGGAGAGGCTTGTCCGTTCCGCCGCTATCCTTTTCCGTCATTGCGTCACGGACGCTGTTCGTCTCGCTGGTTCCATCATCCGTTCTATATCGTAAGAACGACCTCACCGACGGCGTGTAACCCACTCCTTTCCCCTTGATTTTATCTTCTGTAGTCGCTTCAACCCCGTTGGTTTTTGTGCCATTTACCGGTTGGGGCGTGGAACTACCACTTTCTTCAGGCTCTGATTGCGATTCGTCCTCCACCACTGTCGACAAATCTCCGGCAATTAACTTGGGGTATAGCCGAATGACGAGTTCAGGAGGTGCAGACGCCGCCGTGAAGAGGTCTAGGGATGCTCGGTATTTTCTGCTATCAAATAACGATTGTGCCTTTTGCAATTTGACTTGTCGCAGGCGGCCAGCCTTGTTGGTTGTCAAAGCATCCTCGAGCATCTCTAGCAAGCTTATTGCCTCATCAAGATGGCCTTGTTCAACTAGGGAGTCGATTTGTGAATCGTAATCTAGGGCGTTCATTCGCCAGATAACGCGCTCGCTAGCAACAAGAAAGCCTTTCCCAGCGTGCGCAAGACTAATATTGGGCTGGGGGATATGCATAATACTGGCTGACGGTAGCGAGATTGATTGGAGTAAAGACAAAGTTTCCGGGTTGCGTACTTCCAACGTTCCTTTCGAAGGCTCCTGGAGTGCAAGAATGTAAGGATAGGAATAACCAACAGCCCTCTGGGGCCGTACCCCCGGGGGATCTGCCTCCGGCCCAGGGAAGTGCCATCTGTATCGATAAAATGGCGTATTGACATCCTTTGCCAATAACATCTGGCCTTCGGAAAGCCGAGTTGCCAATGGCTTTGGAGGCCGTGCCTGCCAATCCCGATATAGCTCATACCGGACATCACAATGTCTGCCCGTGTTCTTGACCGCCGGGTCCTCATATGCTCCCGGGTCCGACGATATCCGTAAGCTCTTTCGTCTCAATATCAACAAGCACATAGCTGGAATATAAACCTGCCAGCAATTTCGTTCCCGTCGCCCAGGTGAGTGTCTTTATCCCAGTGACAAATGTATCTTCTGGAGTGTCCTCTTCAAGCTCCATATCCCTCCATGTCCACAGTATAACCTTCCTCTTAACCGCACCTGCGAGCCGAGAGACGATCGAGGGAACGCACGGTACTCTTATCTTTGACGATGTTCGACGTCACAGTAAACGTAGACGCGCCCTTTGTCCGCACTAGCTGCTCTGTAACTGATACGTCTGCCAGTCGTGGAGAGACACATAACCACCCGACAGCGAAACCAGCACGTTCGCCTCTTTAATAATCGCCAATTGCTCAATTTTGTATCTCGCAAACTTCTCCTCCTCCCGCAGCAAGTCCGTCGGCTTCGTCGTCGCAGATGCCGGCGATCCAGCACTCTCCTCAGCATTCTGAGCGCCGCCGGTATCCGTTTCCTCGCTGGTCTCGTTCACTCGATATATTCGCAAACTCCCCGTATTCAGGCCAGCAAGTAGTCTATCTCCATAAGCCAAAAGGGACTCGATCTTCGATTTATCGCGCTGCCGGAGCTCGACAAGAGGCCGAGCCGTGAACGCGGAGAGCATGATGGCAGGGAATGATCGGTCCCAGAGTTCTCTCCTGCGATCGTGGGCGATGCTTTCATATCCATGAGGAATGGGGCCCCGTTAACCAGAGATGCCACATCGGAGGTAGCTATGCGACCCCAGACACTATCATCGAACCCATCAGAAGCTCCCGATTGTGGTGCGCCTGCATCGATGTCATTTACCAGTGCCTAGGCCAGATTTGATTGGCTGGCTAGCGCTGCCCAGCTCCGATGAGTAAGCGACGTTTTGATAGCGTAAGCGACCAACTAGTTAGCTATTTGGGCTTCCGCCGTGCATTTATCAGAAATTTATTTGGATTACAGAGTGGCTACGAGAAGGCTGATGATGAGAAATGTATAGGTAGGCAATAAGGTATACTATTGTTGTAACCCAGTGTAGAGCCCAGTCCCTAAAGCTCCTTTGGAAAAATGCACCTTTCTCCCTTTTTCATAGTACCTTGACCACCCGTAATGATTATTCTTCTCAGATTCTAAGTAGACGCCAAATTCAAATCTTCTTCCCTTACGCCTTTTTGCATTCCATGGAGTGCGCCTCGCTTCATAGTATGACGTTCTACCCCTGAAACCGAACCACTTGAGCCTTTGAATATGATCCGAAAAAAATAGCTCAACGCCGAAATAAAAGTAGTGTTGTGAAAATGCACGAGGAAATTAAGCTTAGGCAACTGTCTTGGAGTCACTTTTCACAAGAGCCGGCGGTTCGCGAGGACAATCAACGTTGGTACCATTTCCGGAAGCCACTTCGTCTTTGCCTTTCGTAGGAGCTGGCGCGTCTTGCTTGGGGATAGAATTTTGGCCGTCTGTAGGTTGAATATCCGCAGTGCTAGCCTTGCTATCAACCGTGACGGAGACTGTTGCACTCGTAGAAGAGGTGTTGCCGACGGGTACTTCACGCCGTGACGAGAGCAACGCCTGGATTTCCGCTTCACCAGGGGTTTGGTGTTTGGCTTCGCTGCCTTTGCCGCGCCAGGTCGAAACTGCTGGAATATTGGCCTTGATCCGGTGTTCCTCAGTTCCATAGGCACGACGATAGAGCTTTATCAACGTATGCAGTGGAACCTCCATCCATGGACTTTGTTCCTGAGACATGTTTAGGAAATATGCGTATATGCAGCGGAGGACGGCTTGATGCGTCACGATGATCACATTCTCGCTTCTTTCGAGTTCCATAATGATCGGCTCGAGGCGGATGACAACGTCGCGATACGACTCCCCACCACGGTACCGATAATTGTATTTGTCCTCGTCACGAGCTGCAAAGTCCTCGGGATAACGGGACTGAATCTCCTCGTAGGTAAGACCATCACACACTCCCGAATCTAGTTCATCCAAAGCCTTCCACTCGAGTTTTTGATAGCCCATCTCTTTTACAAGGTGACGGGCTGTCTGGTTTGTCCGTTTCAAAGTGGAAGTCCAAATTGTGAGTTTGGCTCCTGTGGGGATGCCGGACTCACGAAGGAGGGCCGGAAGACCAAGGGCGTACTGTTCGCCGCGAGGGGAGAGATTCGCATCACCGCCTATCTTTCCAGTAAGGTTGAACTCTGATTCACCATGCTGTTGAAGACAGTGTCAGCTGGGGTCTGTGAGCGTGACCTTCAAATGGGGAAACCCAACTAACCCTTGATAACCAAATTGAACGTGGCCGGATGTGGAGATTTTGAATGTAGTAGACGAGACGGCTGGAAAGATAGTCTCGAATGCGATTAATGATAACTTGCGAGCTTACGTTGATCAACTTGACATAGGCGAAGTGGTCCTCATCTAGACCAATTGTCTCGTAAACCTTCTCGTAGTTACGAATGCGATTCATAAAATCCTTCGCAGCCTCTTCGGGGTCCTGGCCAACATAATCTGGAGAGGTTGTCTTGACTTCACGAATGTTGTTCATTATCAAATCATGATCATCGCATTTCGATTCAACAAACAGCGGCGCGATACCTGCGACGCGACAAGTAGTGTCAATCCACTGTCGCCGCTCTTTGGTTGAATTGGTAGCGTCAAGAATTGCAACCTGGCCATCAGTAGTCGCGAACCACTTTAGCATATCCTTGACCGCTGCCTCAGCGGCTGCACGCCGAAGTCGTTCTCCATCAGGGTTTGAGACATCGAAGAAAGACGCCGAAGGCTGAGGGGTGTCCAGGCGCCTATATTGACCCACGTTGAAAATCTTTGCGGGAATTCCGATCCACGACAGGTATCGCAATGCTAGGCTCATGTTAACTCACATTGCATACTTTTCCGATTGTGGTAGGCTACAGCAAGCTGATAAAAACGAACAATGAGAAAGCATGGAGCATACCTTTACCCGCAATCAAAGATTTCCCCCTCGCGGGGAGGCCAACCATAACAACGCAGATCTTGTTGTCATCGTCCTGGGTGCATCCATTAGTATAAGTGATAGGGAGATTTGCCAGCTTATTGGCAGTATGGACTTCTGTTGGGTGGCAATGGTACTCGAAGGTTTTGGTGATGAAGGGTTCAGAGATAGAATCCATGGGGTAGAGGGATGGCCAAAAAAGGCACTAGAAGAGGGGACTGTATATATGCAGGACACTTGCAATATGCAGCTGGGGAGGGCAGAAAATAAGGAGCCAGAAGATTAGAAGGACAAATTTGTAGACAAAAAAAGATCAAGGAGATGCCGGAGTTGATGTTGGAGAGAGCAAAGGAACACAATGTGGGAGGAAGAGAGAATATTTACAGAAAACATCAATCGCATCGTTGCCAAAGAGGGGAATCTGATTCACTGTTTGCACGGCTTGATATTCACGGTTGTGCAGCTGCTTAGTCGCCTAGTTTGCGATTTGGCTTAGTCGCCCTTTTGAGTGAAGAGACAGCAATCTTGCCAGTGCCTGTGTACAGCGAGCAAACATCTAAATAACTGCAAACTATGGCGCCACCGGAAACGGTTGATGCTGGATGCTGCAAGTATCGAGGGTGCGCTTGCACGAAGAATGCAAATGAGGACGAGAATTCTTCCATAGGCTAGCCAAAGCGGCGCGGAAAGAGTTGTGTAGGCGTTATCTATCGCACTGCCGGTCGTGGTATGTCTTTCTTTCCCGAGTTTGGTGGCTTCCAGGATGACTCAATCTAGTTGAACAGGAACGATGGTCGTTTGGGGATTCTCGAGACGTATTGCTCGACGGCATATATCGACCTCCGATCCATCGATAAAGCCCATGGCAATGACATCGCAATCACGACATTGTTTAAAATTCTCCATGAACATGACACACGAACGTTCTCCACGACGGCCATCATGTGCTGTTGTCTCTTTGGCTAGGCCTTGATGGGACTCAGATACTCCAGCGGGCCCTGGGTTGACCTGTGGAGCAAAAGCGATGAATTGAGTTTTCGTTCCGCGTGAACTCCATTTTTGGACTTGCAAAAGGACGGGCGACGATGACTTCACGAATATAAGCCGCCGGCGCTATTCTTAACCGCTGAAATGGATCGTTCGAGCCCAGTTGTGGCATGACATCTCGTCACGAGCCAAGTATAGATTTGTTTCGGTCATCCGGTTGTCAAGAAAGGCGGCTAGGACCTCGCCCAAGGATTTCGCAGTCGCACAATTGATACTATCGGACGTCCATTTATGTTCGGGTATCCGTCTTTGCCACCGAGCAAAGCAAAACCAGTGAAGGATATGGTGCGACTTTGGGGTCCCACAGACAGTCATTCTGGCACCACACCCACAACTCGGGAGAATTCGTCACATAGCCCCAACAATGATGACCAAAGCGAAAAATAAAAGGAAAAAAAAAGGGAAAAAAAAGAAAATGCCGCAGTGAGGAGGAAATTGCATGGAAACCATATGACAAAGAAGTGTAAACTGAAATAATAGTGGCAGTGTTGGGGGACGTTGATAGAGCATCAGAGGGAAAATTGGGCACCAAGGCATTCATGGGGTTCCCGAGTCCTAAGACATGGAAAAAAAGGGAATGGACATATAGAACTTACCGTTGCCCCAAAGATCTTATAGACAGACTGTCGGCGTCCTGACCTTCCAGACGCCATCGTGGGCAATATCAACCACTTCCTCACTCTCTGTAGCTCGAGGGACAAGCAAGTCGTCACGCACCAGAAACTACAGGAGCAAAAGGGCAAAGCACTGATAGGAGCACAGTCTCTACCTATCAGGCCCTGACCAGCCCTGCCAGGATGTGGATGAGTCTGTTAAGGAAAAAGGCAAAGATGTGCTTCACGGCGTAGGAGTTTAACACGATTTAAATACCATGAATCGCTGTGAAAACAAGATGGAAGACGCCGGGAGAAGCAAATAAATCTTAAAGGCCTCCTTGTGTCAGATGGAATTTCTCTCATTCACCTGTTGTGCAGTGACCAGTGATGCCATCGGGTTGTTCCGAGCGCCATCGGAACTTTTGCAGGCTTGTTAATAAGCAGTGCTGGAGCCACTCCATAGAAATCTAACTAACTAGTTGGTTGCTTGTATGGCATTTCCATCTCAACTCGCTGGATGGTGCCGTCACTTCAGCTCTGCTCGCTCTCTTCTTCACTACGGGAAATTAGCATCAAGTGGAAAAACAAGCTATCGAATTGGAAGAAACAAAGTCAATCAATCATGCAACCGTCAGAATTGCCTACAACTGTTTAACCTATCTCCCGGAATTACGCGTTATCAGTGATATATCTTCGGTACAGCTCGCCCTTGGGGAGGAGGAACTCTGCATCGGCCCTCAGATTACCACCGGCATCTTGGACCGCTTCAATCACTCCAGAAATATCGCCATCATGAGAATGCACCAACCACGCACAACTATCACAAAGCAAGAGACCGCACCCCCCTCGAGTACCAGCTTTGCCCCGTCGTCCAACGCATTGATAAAACGCGGGACTGATGCATATGGCGCACCAAGGGTTTCTTTTAACACAACGGCCCTCTCCTAAGTCTGCAAACAACGTTTTGAATGCTTTTGTGAGGTCGAATGTCTGGGCATCTACACCTTCGATGGGCCGCATGGCATGCGATGTGCACTCAACGGCTACCACGCGCTCCTTTGTGCAGCTACCGCACATTCTGCTTGGATCTTTCCCCCGTATGGCGTGGCCGTCCTCGAGTTCGATGTATCCTTGCCCGTCTGGCCGCTCTTTCACTCTGATCTGGAGCTGCTCAAGCCCCAGAAACACCGTAGGTGAAGGTCGTAGCACTAGTGACATGGCTGTGATCCGTCCGGCGGAGGGAAATAACCAAAGTCGATGGGATGTGCAAACGATGTGAGATGATTTGAGCTCTGGGCAGGTCGAGTCGGCTTTTCCTTCGGCACGCCGACTATATTCGGATGATTGTATCATAAGCCGCCGTTTTGGTCTTGCAATCGGGGCCCGGCGCTGAAATGGGAAATGCAGGCGGCTGGGGTAGGACTGGTAGGACTCGTGGGGGATACTGATGATGGAATTCAGGGATAGTCCGGTGATGTTTCCCCATGGTCTCGCCATTGAGAACATTGGGTCCTGTATCAGATCGTTCAGTATTCCTGCTCCAACATTTGATGCCGCAACGTTTAGGATGGATGATTTACTGATTGTGAGATGATGAACATTTTTTAGGTCACTGGAATCGGCCAACCCTGAACGGTTATGGGGCACTTCATCAGAATTGTCCAGGAGCAGAGGACGCTCAGATTTTTGCATCTCATTTTCCCCAGATCCCACTCCGACGTCACTAATTCTCGTCAGACAAGTCATTTCAACAAATTACCAACATTCAATCTCAGCTCTACCTTGGGCGCAATCTCGCGTGGTTGGGTTCGGGACTTTCCAATGCCTGCCCGTCTTCGAACTTAGCTCTCGTTGCAGGACGCTCGCTGATCTCGCCAGCGGCCTTTCTTTTTGCCTTTGGCTTCTTTTTCGCTTTTCTTTCGTCCTCCCCAGGTTCGAAGTCGCCCGTTTCGTCGTCATCGATCTCGTTTATCACCCGTAGGCCACTCGATCTTCTGACCCTCAGTTGGTATCTAAGATACCCTTCCAAAAGGTCCCTGGAGAGCCTTTCCTGCTCTATGACGGCTGCCTCCTTGCGAATAAGACTAAGAGTCTTATCGAGTAACGCCCAGGTATAAGCCATCTGCTTCGATGTGTTAGCCTTGTCGTCTCATTCCGGTTGGGTGAAATTCCTATTCTCAGTGTGGCGCCTACCGACAAGGACGATAGAAATCTCAAAGTAAAATGCCTTTATATCGTCAGATCCAATGGACGGCAAAGCCCTTGGGATTAGGGAATCCAACTTTGACAATCGAGACTCGGGAATACACGGCCCTGATGCTTTGTTTAGTACACCGACCAAAATAACTAAACTGGGTGTGAGCTATACTTAAGCTTGATGGCACCAAAATCCAAACCCACATTCAAGCATGCGATAACATGGTTGTTCTCCAATTGGTATTAACGACTCTGTCATCGGCTAGTGAGGATGAAATGAATTGGAGATCAAGCTGAGAATGAAATATATTTGCAGTTATCTGTTGTCAATCATGGAGAATATTCCGGTTACTGCACGATGTTCTCTTATAACAGATGAGCACGTCCTCCTGGGCCACGGCATGTCAGTGAGGGTGCGTGAGCAACGCATCATGACGAAAAAATCCGCGATGCGCCGATACCAATGGACACTTATAATTTAGAGGAATTGCAGATACTAAGTTGGGATGTTTTCCCTGGATAGCGCACTTAACCATTCAAAAACTGTGCGGACTTGTTGGCAATTGCTAGGGATAGAACCGGGCAGCTCATTCTTTCAAGCAATACAAGATAATGGCCTTTATAAGATTTTTTTCTCTTGGTTTAGCTAACAAGTTCGCATTTCCAAGCAACATGACTGACATTCCTTTCTTCAGGCTTCTCAGCACTTCCGTTAATATATCAGTTTTATTATAGCTATTTAAAAGTATGTCTTTCAGTGAGATTAGAATCAAATTTGACAAATACAATAACTATATCTAAAGATGAGGCTAGGTAAACAAATCAAATCAACCGACTTTACCAAGCTCGAGGTTGGCACTGAAAACAATGGAATGGGAGGGCAACTACTCACGAACTGTTGCGCTTGTCTGTCCTCGTTCCCAAGATGTTTATTAGCCAGGTTTGTCAGTATGAATTACCCGCAAATCGTCACTCGCTAAATATCGAAATGTATGGAGGAACGTATCCGTGAATCCCGCCGCATACTTGAAAGAAAGACGGTGAGGACAAGGCAAATGGGTTAGTCTAATAATAGTGCATAGTTAATAAGCTGGCTAACTAGTCGACTAGCTAATTAACACCTTTTGCCAAGTTAATCAACTAGTTAACTCACTAATAGTTTCTTCCCACAAAAGAATTTTCTCTTCTCTCCATCCTCGATTTCTCGACAAAATTCCAATTTTCCCAAAGACAACCTCCTGGCATTCCATCCGGGTCAGTATGAGTTACTGTCGATATGCGGCTCTATCTCATCCGGCATGCTGAGAGCGAGCACAATGTGGCCCAGGTTTAGTAAGATTCTGTGCACTCCTTCGAGCAAGCCATTCACTCCATGCTCCCAATGTCTTTTGATACTCACGCTCTTTCTTATTCAGCGCTGGCGTGACAGACTCTGCCTTGACGAATCATGGTATACTTCAGATCGAACGGCTTGCTCGCCATTTTCGGACTCGGGGTGTCGGGTTCACTCAAATCTTTGCATCTCCACTTCAGCGTGCTCGTCTGACCGCTGAAGGGTTATGTGCAGAGGCGAGCAGGTCAGAACTCCGTCCCGTCTTCTCACCGCTTTTGATAGAAAAGGATTTTGGATCTCTGGAAGGTAAATCTTGGCGATCGGCTGCGGCCCTTTCAACAGTTCCTAGCGTCGAGTGCCGGGAACCAGAGTCAGCAGCATCTATGATCGCAAGAGTGAACCATTTCTTAAATGACTTCATATTTCCTAATCTCCACTCTGACAAAGAGGCTGACGAGGTCATCGCTATTGTTTCTCACGGGATTGTCCTGTCAGTTCTATGGCAAACCTTGACCAAGCTTTGTCGCGACAGTCACCTTGTTGTTGGAGGAACAGTTTGTGCTGAGACTCGGCGTCCCGGTTGGTCTAATACAGGCTACATGGAGTTTGATATGACAAAGGCCCCAACCCTTGTTGCTGATTCTGTATACCTCGAGACTACGTCCCTGAGAAGGCTTGAAACAGATGCACATCTGACCAGTGACGCCCATGCGGCTGATCATCCTTCAGGTATTGCGTTGAAGATAACAGTTCATGCTATCAACAGCCGAGGACATCTCCATACGTTAAAGCGCACTGGAAGCGGGATTGGAAGCGCAAAACATGATCCCAAACAGAAACGTATCAGCAGCTACTTTTCCAACCCCAGCGTTGGTTAGCTAATTGTGAGTACATGTTCCAGTTTACTTCATTTTCCCAGTCTTTTTTCACGCCCCCAGCTACAATGATGAAAACCCTTTATACACAGACCTGTTCCGAAACAATTATGTGGATAAAAGATGTTGCCTTCCTTCTGAAAAGCTCCGAATCTCCTGACTTACTCTCTTCGGTTGCCTTTTTGATAAACATACTGATTAGTTGTTAGATGCTTTCTGCTCGGGATTGAAATAGACATGCATCTCTTCCATGACAGTTCTACGTCTTCACAGTGGTTTGTAAAATGCATGCGTGTTGCGCTGGGCTTGTCTTCCGCGTTACGAAATCCGTCTCGTAATCAAGAGCAGTAATAACGACTGCGGATAGCAACAATCCAATAAAAATGGTGTTGTTTTATCTACGAGTTAATACGCAAAGCGGCTCTTCCATTTGCAAAGGAGTGGGTGGCGGTCAAGAGCAATAGGGTAAAAACTATGCTAATCTCCTATATATATGCTGGGTTCGATCTATGTGCCGTATACGGAAATATGAACATGCATTATCATTACATTCCATCATCTTTTCACATCGCGTTGGCATACCAATCATTAACAAGAAACCCAACTATCCACTATGAAGCCTTGTCTCCACGGTACTCATACTCATGCCTCTCCCTTCATCCCCCTCTTTCTCCTTGCCAAACTCCTCCACCTTGACGTGCCTCTGGAAAAGGATATATCTCCGGATTACACTCACAATATGCTTCAATGCCCACTTCGCGTGCAGATGAGTCGGAACAGAAAACACTTGTTCCAATTCTTCCAGCGTTTTGCCTTTGGTCTCCGGCAAAAACAGCAAAATCAAAACGAAACCGATAATATTCCACCCGGCATACCAGCCAAACGCCCCCTGCGCCGAGAATGCGCGAAGCAAACTGGGCCAAGTGATTGCAAGCATCCAGTTGAAAAACCACGTCGTGGACGTGGCGAGGGCCATGCCGTAAGCACGAACATACAAGGGATATGCCTCGGCGGAATATGTAAATGGGACGGGACCTTCGCCGGGTGAGTAAACGATGCCGAACAGGTATATTCCCAGCGCGACGCAGCCGACACGAGCACCGGGTGCTGTGTCAGCGGGGATCCAGAATGCAAAACCTGTGAGGAGGAGGAAGAGTCCCATCAGCGGGAACGTGACAAGCAGCAAGTTGCGACGACCAAAGGTGTCGATTGTGTATATGGCGGGAATGGCGAATAACCAATTGATCATGCCAAAGCCAAGGGACGCCGCGAGAGCCGATATCTGGGAGAAGCCTGCTTCGAGGAATACTTCCGACGAGTAGTAGGCGATGACGTTGACGCCGCAGAACTGATCGATGGTAAGCATCCATACTAAAAAAAAATATCTAGGGGCGACCGGGAAATTACCTGCTGCATAAACATGACGATTTCTGACGCAAGCATAGCTCGTCGGTTTCGCGGTACGGTAATCAGCTCGACTATCTTGGGTTGGCCCAACTTCATCGTGGACTCCGCCTCAAGGAGGGTATGCATATAGAACAAATCTCGCGCAGCTTGGATCTTATTGAATCTCAATCGACACATCGACCTATACGCTTTGTGATGGGCACCCTTGGAAATATACCAACGAGGCGACTCAGGGCACAGGAATATCGTAAAACAAACCAGTATGGCTGGAAACATGGCGGATCCCATCATCAGTCGCCATCCTAGGCCAACTATCCCTGGCGGATCGGGGACTTGGAAGAAGATTATGTCCGAAGCATAGCCGAGCATGATGCCAAATGCAGTCCACATCTGCCATTGCATGACCAAGGCACCACGAATGGCGGGTGGTGTGGTTTCGGCGGCATATATGGGCACGGTTGCGGATTTGGGTCCAATTCCAAAACCTAGCGCAAATCGAGCAACAAACATATGCCACCAGCTATTGACAAAACCCTGCCAGAAACAGGTGAGAGCAGAGAAAAGGCAAGTGATGAATATCGTCCCGCGGCGGCCGAATAGATGGTTGAATGGAACTGTGAGCCAACAGCCGATGAGAGCGCAGCAAAGATACGGAGCGGAGTTGGTAAGCCCTGAGAGCCACGTTGAACGGTAATCATCGTTGTCGATGCCAAACTGGGGTTTATAGAAGATCTGTGCGCCGTTGACGACAGATTCGTCTGCTTATCCATTAGAATTGGCGTTTGAAAACACGAAAGAGCTCAAAGAAAACCTCTCAAACGCACCCATTCCCTGGACCGCTGCCGACACCGAACACATCACAATCACCAGATACAGCAGCTTGGGCTGAGACCACTTATGCGTGAACTCGTGGCGGAGAACCTCTAGCTCTTCTTGCGTCAATCCTTCCACGTTTTCATACTGTTCCGGATCCTGGGCCAGGACGGCACCCAGCGCAAATGCCCGAATGTCTTCATCGTCGCCAATCTGATGTTTTCGCGCATACCGCTCCCCCCTACTTCGTAAGGCCGCCTGGCTCAACCCTGCCAGCGGATTCGCAAGCTTTGTATTGAGATTCCGGCGTGCACGCTCAGCAGCACTGAGAGGTTCCCTGTTAGATGTCACAAAAGAAGGCTGGCGATCGCGAGGGTGGTCTTCATATGAGATGGTAGGATACGCCTTTGTACTTCCTTGTGACGGATTCAATTCGTCCGAGGATCGGTAAAAATCCATCCCCGGGTCTTTATCCCTCTAGGACTCTGTCGCGTGAGAATACAAGTGGTATATATGCTCAGATAGCTTGAATGATAAAACGAATGGGGAAAAACATCTCCCAGATTGACTGGCTTTTAGGACAGCCTTGCTGGGGCTCGGGGACCTTTGTGAAGAAAATGGCAACACTCCACAGGGTCTTCAAAATAGAGCCTGTCTTGGAGATGGACGATATCCAGGGTATATAAGAATACGCCTTGGAGCGGGAGATCCACCACCCCGTAGCCCTGCGTCCAGCGACATATAAATTCACAGTATTAAGCACTCCGCCCTCGTAAAGGCCACTGAACGCACTCGACTCGATAGGCTGAACCACAGTTCAATTCTCCGATGCGACGGTTAATCACTCATGGCTAGAAACCTTGTGCTGCAAAAGCCTCCGCGTGCAAGGACAATGGGCATTGGCGTGCTCACATGCGCAGTTAAGGCGCCGGGCTTTTGCATCAGGGCCGCCGGAAACGGCGAAGTTTAACGCCCTTGGTGGCCAACCTAGATTGTCGAGACAAAGAGACGCGATCGGTTAAAAAAAGATATTCCAGAGGAAGAGTCGCTTTCCCGGTGGTCACAGTGCTCGAATTCTAGGCCAGTCAGTGCGGTGAATAATGAACGCGGGGGAGGACACATATAGTTATATCTAACGCGGCGGACTCTACTCCGCGTAGCAAATGATATTCGACCAAGTCGCAATGGCAAATATTTTAGCTGTTCAAAAGGAACGTTTGCAATTAACACTCCTGTTGCACAAGAATCACCAAGCAGCAGTTGGGCAGTTTTTTGCGGTGTTTATCAGCCATCTTAAGCTGCAATCTCGAGCCTCTGCATCCAATGCCCAATCAATACGACTCGGACACGCCGTCTCTTTTGTCAGGAGATCTCAGGCCGCTGGACCTTGTGCCGACTGAACGATGAGGCTGTTCCTGCGTCCTCCAACCGTTATTCATCTCCTCCTTCGTTGGAGTCTTCTGGCCTCTCAAGAGGGCCTTATACCACCAGATCCATCACTCCCATAACCAACCCTGTTAGACGTCTCGATGGTTCTTGGGGCTCCAGCGGAATATCGGGAAGTAGTTATTTTCAGATCAACTCTTTACTTTCCGTCGATGCTTCTCTGGCTTCGCGCTCATCCTTGATCGCTGGTTTGAGGCCTACCGCTCATGCCCTTTTTTTTTTTGCAAGTGGCGATTTCTTTGTGTAGCTAAGTTCTTGATACGAAGACTTTACCCTTGTCGATGCTGGGGTTCCGTTACCAGGTAAATCTGAGGTCAATTACTATATCTCTTCAAATCGGTCTTGCATCGACAGGAGTATGTATGATCGTTCCAATTGCCCTATCGCCCCTGCCGTTCCACGGAGAATCTATTCAAAACACATGTATATACTATGACCCTGCTAGCCTGTGATATATACAATTTTTCCAAGAACGAGCGGTAACGTAGAACATCACGCACCGCTCAAAAGTACAAATCAAATGTGCCAAAGAATCAAAATGCCTATACAAAAGAATGGTATAAGAACCTAGTAGAAATTACTTGGCACTTAATTTTCCTCCAAGTTCGGTAGGAATGCACCACTGTTTATATTGAATCCAGCATGCGCAAAAAGATTTTCCCAAGCACCATTGTCCGTAAAGGAAGCGAACGGATAAGTATGAGCACCACCACCGTCATGGCTCAGTGCTTCGTTCATCGTTATAAATGACTGATAGCCGTTGTTTCCGGCCATAACGGCGGAAGGAGTGGCGTCCGAGCCTAAAATACCAGCTAGGCTTGGATTTAGGTTGTGATTGTTGATGCTTTGCATCGGAGTTGTTGTGGCCGTCGTTGCGGCATGGAGTAAAGAGGCGGTTAATTGGCTGCTGTCGGGCTGAGAAGCGTGAGAATTCAGTTGAGAAAGGGGGTTGTGTAACGGTGTGGCTTGCAAGTTCGAAGGTGCGTTGGACATTGGGGACATGTCATTGGACATATGTGCCTGTGAGTCAGGATAGTGTGACGACGGAAGAGAGTGGAGCGGAGACTGCGTCTGGGATTGTTGTTTTTGAGGATGCTGGAGTAGATGTGGTGGTTGTGAATGCGTTGCAGATCTCATATATAAATCTTCGATGTGTTGTCCATCGTGTTGCTTTTTGATCAGATTGCCGGCCATGGCGTTTGCTTTGGCTTTTGATTTGCGATATTGTGCTACTACATTGGCAAGAAATCTGCTTTGAAAGAAGCAGCTGGTATTGATTGCGGAACATTGGCGGCCAAAATCTTCGCTTGCTTTGCAGAGTAAGTCGAGAATGGTATTCTCCGATTCAATAGGAAGAACTCCAGGCATCGAAAGTAGAATCTAAGATATATCAGCAACAAAGCGGTGTATTTTGAAAAGAGCTAATTGTAGTCCCGTACCTTGATAATAACGACGGCTGCGTAGGCAACCATTACATGTACGGAGTCCTGACAGTAGTAAAGATGTGACGTTGTCCCAAGACGATTGACAACCAAGCGCAGCATTTCCAGAGCACTTGAATAACAGATCCATAGAGACTGTTTGGAAACATTCCCACTAAGAATCGAAAGCTGTAGCCGAAAAGAGTGTATTAAGAGACGTAAATGGTGTCCATAAAACCGAACAAGAAACCGATGGCAGACGGATCTGTTGGCTACAACGTCCAACAATGTTAGAGAATATCGAAGAGTGGGAATATCCGAAAATGTTACCTTCATCCAATGTTTTATACCATTTTGCCTCCCATCTATCTAGATCACAATTGAACGTCTTAAGAATAAACTCATCTTTATCAATAGCTTGTGGCGTTGTTGCGACGGGGTGCAACCAGAAAACGTCCAAGAGATCAAATCCGAGAATCCTCAGCTGCACAAAGGCCACCATAACTTCATCAATTCCCGGGACCGCAAACATATGATGATGCCAATTCTCTGCGTTCCGGATCAGAGAATCCATATGGATCATGGATGGCCTTCCCAACTGTAGGCTCATGCTACGAAAATTCATTAGGATCTCAATGGCCCAAACACTCAAAGTTACCTTATGCAGGGAGGATAAGCGTACCTGCGATCGTAAACGAACAGCATCAGCCAGGTACGTTCCCTATTTCTCCGTTCTCTCAATTCCATCTCCTTTGTATGTCCTTCTTGGCCATCCTCGGCAGGCTCCAGATGCGTCGGATTCAACTTATGCCATCCCATCTCCATACATGCACGAATAGCATATCCGACAAGCATCCATGCTCGAGAATCACTGGGTTCTTTCCAATGGGTTATCAGACATATTCCTTGCACGATTTCGGTCGATTTCTGACCAGAACCAAGAATTTCTCGTAAAAGACTCTCAACGTGTTCGTGAAGCTTGACATATAACTGTGGAGAGAACACCTTCGCAGCAGCGGCAAGAAGTATTGAAAATAAGAACGATGATCGACTCCTGACGTAACGCATTGTATGCAGCATAGGATCGAACTGGCATGTGAACGGATTCAGATACTTGAAAAAGCTGATTGAAAGTAAACCATTAGATTAAAAGCTGCACAACAGGAAGGCATCAAGGTGTCGTATGACAAAATTCAACATACTTATCAAACAATCCCTGAGCACTTGGCATGCTTAACAAGTTTCGATTCACTGGGTCGTTAGGGTCCTTTATTGGGAATTCTTCTTTTGCAAAGTCTTCTGCATTGGAAGGATCGTCTCCAATTGGGCTTTCGTCCTCCACATTGAGAATGTTCGCAATTGTAAAATTTCCTGCTGTTGCTGATTTTCTTAACAAAGCAAATGGTGCAAGGCTATTGGAAGCCAGTGAGCGGCTAGTTTTCAAGACTTTTTGAGTCGAGCTGGTGACATTCTCCTTGGGGAACGGGGGTAACCAATTCTGTTTAGTGTCAATCGGGGTGTGATCACTCTGCTGGCCCAGTGTATCCTCTGTTTCCATTTTGAGGGTCGGTTCCATTGCCGTAGGTGTTCCGGGATTCGAGCCTTGGTGAGTGCTTGTTATTGCCGCAACAGCGTTAGACGCTTTGATACGTTCCGCTTTAGGGCGCAATCTGACCATGGAATCTCAACATCAGCCACCTCGATGCGTGCAGGATTTGAGCGTGGTTCAAAGACTCACTTGGTACCCGGTTTTCGACCTCGACGATGTGTCTCATAGAAGCAAGTTAGCGATTTTCTTTTACAACGATTGCATATCGCAGAGTCCGGCTCGCGAATGCATTTCATTTTCACTGTGCGACATGGTGTGCAGGCGGCAACAGCAGCACCACCAGGGGCACTCATTGCTCAAAGTCCAACTGACAAGAGCTGATTTGTTAAATCATAAGTTCAATTTGCTATCATCACTGTGTGCTTTGGCAATTCAAGCGGTGTGCAATGACGCATTTGTATTGCTCCATGCAAATGGGCCAGTTCCATGGGATCAAATGTTTGATCTGTGTGCCAAAGACGATATTCTAGGATTCGCGAGAGGACAACGCCTCGTCGACGATTACAGGGGAGAGAGTGTGTTGGCGACCCGGGTTAATTATTCGATGGTATTTTGCACGCGACAGTTTAAGATCGTGCACGATTAGGTATGCGGGCACAGGTTGATCTCGCTCTGCAGCCGAGTCTCACAAGTGCAGCGATCGATGGTGAGATGCGCAATGCGCCATGCGCCATGCACAATGCCTACTCCGTAATACGGACTTGACGCAAATGCAGAAGTACTCTGAAACTTTTGTCGAGCCTCGAGTCTTGCATGCTTTGTCCCTCACGTCGAGGCAGCGACTTTTGCCCTGTAGGTTCAGAATTTTCTGGTTAGTTTGGTCTTTGTCGTAAGCTTCCGGCGGTGGAGATCGTGAAGAGCAATTCACTGGTTAACCGACCAACCTCTCTTTCTTCACGCTGCGAAGAGCCTCCAAGCGCGGCACGGGGGGGGAGAGAATCGACAGAGAAGCCCACGAGAGCACAGAATGGACAGCCGACGGCCTGGCAGTGCTGGCATCAGGAGAGATGACTGGCCACAATCCACGGCTTCAACCGATGCCACCCTCTGCTCGTTTAATTTGCTGTCCTCATCGACCGTGGCAGCCACTAAGCCCGAAATGGAGCCTGAGATCACTTGCTCCTTGCACCCCTGGATGACACCTCCAGAAGAATACGATGTCTCATCATCTCATTAAACACTCGTTCTGCGCACTTTCGTCACAGTTCTTCAACGCGGAGACGTAGCCGTTGGTGCAGCACGTTGCACAGCTCCCGGTTTCTGGCCGTTTCTGGGGACGGCCACCCTAGAGTGCGGGCTTCCCGAGCTTAGCCCGGTGCAAAGGGAATGGGCAAGGAACAAAGGACGCTTTCGGCGGTGGCAACGAAGCCTGCAAGAAGCACATGGGAGGTACGCGGACAGGACATGCGAACGATGCCTGAGGCGAGGAAGGATGGGCCTTCATCCCTTGTGTGACCTGAGATGCCTCTCACGCAGACAACACGAGCACAAACGTCTTCCAATCCGGCATACATCTCAGAGAGCCGTGATCGGGTCATTATTTAGTTTCTCGATTTCGTCCAAGCGGGCCCAGACGCCTTCGATAGAAGGATACGAGGGCCACGAAACATTGCTCGTCAGTCTGCCCCACCCTACAGAATGTTCTTTGATGACTGCTCGTCTGATGCTGCGAGATTGAGAGATTCTTTGAATTTCAACTGTGTCGAGACCACCGTCATTCCAGTAGTGAGTCCACCACCACCAGTGGCACCTGGCCCTTTCATTTACTAGATACTTTGTACTCTGTTACGGAGTCTCCCCCAAAGAAAAAGAGCAAAATCCTTCAGGCTACTCTCTCCCTGGCGAAATCGGCCCATCTCAGCCGCTCGATCCAGATCCCGGGTAGAACATTTGCAAATCTGATATTTCCTGATCAAAGCGAAACCGCCTGGCAGTCAAGTTCCACAACCTTGGGCCAATTATCAGGAGGATTTCGCTAAACTTCCCGTCGGAGAAAGGTCAATTGCAGGATCTCACGCCCGGAGCCATCCATGCGAAGGGAAAGCCAGATCGGCCAATTTGTCTTTACGATACATACCCAACAACATTCAGCTTCAGGGACCCAAACGGGAATTGTAGCATAACTGCGGAGGGCTGAACCCGCAGCTCGAAAACGCCCGGCCCGAAACGTGTAAATATCTCCCTTCCCGCCCCCTTCCCCCCAATCCGCACCGTCGAATCATGGGCAAATGATGGTCACAAAGCGTGCGATGTCGAGTCAGTGGGGTTTAACTTTTATTTAGAAACAAGATGCATCTGTAACCAACTTCTCCGTCCAGAGGTCATGACGCTCAGCCGGAGAGCACGGGAGCCAGATCCCTGCCAATGAGAGCGATGTTAAGCGTTGGTCAGCTCAGCCTTTCGGGAACACACTGTCGAAGAATGAAATCTCCTTGCGGAACAAGGATTGAGCCAAAAGCCTATTAATATTTCTCTGAATACTTTTTCTCACATATTCTTGCCAGGGTTCATCTTCTTTGGAAACCACCCCAGCCTAGCTCTGCGTCCGCTGAACCAATGGCTGTTGCACAGTCCACCCTCAGGACGGAAGTTGGCGCCTCATCCAACCACAAACAGTAACCTTACACATATTTCCGGAGTGATTACAAGATTTCGATCATGCGGATGCACCCATCTGGGTCCCCTTTGCCGGACCGGCACATTTGGTTTGGAGTTTTGAACGCCGATGCTGGGAGTATAAGGGCGGGTGTTGCAGTTTAAAGAAGGGCCTGTCCCTGAGCAAATGGAGCTCTCCATTTCGTTTCCCTTGGAGAATTTCTCAATCATCGGAATTGCTCAGCCAGATTCACAGATTTATGAACCAGAGAAAATGCGCACCCCTGGACTCACCGCTGTTGCCGCGAAAACGTCACATGTCAATCTGATGACAGACACCGTCATCGCGAACCTCAACCCTGAGACATTACGAGCTGTTATTCGGTCGATGCTGGCGGGAGACCAGGAAGGACAACTGGCCAGCACATTTCAAAAGCATGTGCAAAAATACCTACAACGAGACAACGGAGTCTTGCCCGTCACCGCGTCGCTCAACTTGCACGGGGAAGCACCGTTCCACAAAACCATGGAAAGCATCAACAACCTCCGAATGCGAATCCTGGCACTCCTTGGGTGCGGCCTGCCGTTTGAAAGTCTCGAGATAGTTGCGGGAATCGTTCGGCACTCCGCGCCGCTTCTACGCCGGGTCGACTTGGCAGATGAAGATACTTTGCTATCTACGCTGGCCGCCATCGATGCTGACCTGGTCCAAGCTTCGACAGCCATCCAGTCGTATCTCATGAAGAATGGCAACCGGAGCCGTCTGTCTGAATGCCAGGTACGAGCGCTAGTAGAGCTAAAGCAGGGCCTGGACGAATGTCAAAGACAAAGCGACGCCCACGGAACAGAATTCGCCTTCGAGCGGGGGATGGATATGCTAGACGAGATCCTCGCGATGGTGAAACGATGACGAGGATTCAGGAGGACTGGGTCCCACGGCTAGATCATTTTTGATACCTTGCGGGCAACGCTGACCGAAGAGGTGGAGTTTTGGCGGACGGTCGTTTTGGGTTCGAATTGGCTGTTGTTACTTTCTAATATCAAGACCTGGGAACGAGGATCTTCGGGGAAACTAGAGCTGGCTGCGGATAGAATGAGTCACGGTGCTTGTTATGGGCTATCAATTGTCGCTATTGAATTCAATCAAGGGCAGCATTATTATCATTTTAATTGCTTCACGCGCAAGCCGCTTTAGCCATGAGACAATAATATCTGTCCACGGTAAATTGGATCCATGTCACATACCTGGGTTGTGGAAATGAGTGCTAGTGATTGTACGGAGTCGTCGCAAAGTGACAGATGCATCTCCTTGGAAGGTCTAGTAAGTGTAGTGCACTAGCCGAAAGCCGTTCAGTCCCAAGACACGCAGGTTGATATCACCCCGAAACGGTCAGTTTTGAATATTAAGTTAATCAAACTGCGTGCCAGGACCGAAGCTTCTGCATCATGTAGTTGACTCCGTAACTCAGATTTTCTTCCCCTGCTAGCCGATGCTTCGATTCCTGTAACTACCCATTATTTATTGATTTACCATGGTTTTCCTGCAGACATCCCATCCATCCCCGGCTGCGCGCTGCTCGGAATGGGGGCCAGGATGGGGATACTTGGGGGAACTTCTGGAAAATATCAAAACCCTCCCATGAAACGACCAGCGCCCGTTTTGATTTTCGCAATCTGATCCGTGATCTTATCATCGGGAAATGCAAGCGGGCTTGCATTTCACGGCAAGGGGGGTCCCCTGCTCCTCCATCCCCGCCAGAAAAGACCTCGGGCATTGGAAATCCCCAACTTGAAATTTTGTTGCTTCAACGGGGTCGTGCCATCCAGGGCCGTTATATTTTCAACCAAGCTCAAAACTCAACGACGACGTAGTTTAAGCCCGGTACGCTGGCTGAAACCCCGGATCAGACAGTGCTTTGACCGTTCTTCTCGAGCGACTGCAACCCCAGCAATTCCGCGAGCGAACGTTGCCTTGGCAAATTGTTGTGCACTGCCGCTGATCCTAGAACAACGGCCTTATCTCTTCGCTTTCTTTCGAGATTCACACGCATGCCTGTAGAAGTCCGAGAAATGTGACTTTCCCGAAAGCTCTTGCCGGGAAATTGCGCTTGAGTAGAGAAATTAGAAGAAGCGAGCATAGGCGATTCAACTGCGCCCTGGGGCCCTTTCCTGGTCCTCCCCCCACGCCCGTAGCATATTAAACACTGCATCGGCGTTTTAAAACAAGTCCAGCACCAGCCAAGCGGATCTAAATCTCCTTGGTCCGTGGCCTCCTGTTGTGCCTGAATTATGTAACTAGCATGGCAATTCAGATCGAGACAGTGCCGATTTCCATCGGGAATTGGACGGGAGTCAAGTGGCACTCATCCAGGATTGATATCTTGCTTTTCTGGCGGGCATTGACGCCGGAAAAGTGCGCGTCACACAGGCCTGCCCGATGCCCGTGGCTAACAATAGACTGATATCGTGAAGAATACGAATCGTCACTCCGAGATACTGAGAGCTGCGTCAGAGCACATATATATGCCTTTCAGCTGAACTCGGACTGCATTTTCTATTCACCCCCCACAACCCATTGATTGACATACACAAATGGAGACGTTTACTATAGGAGAAGACAAAGTCCCTAGGCTCTTCGTCGGGTTATGGCAGCTATCAAGCCCGGCATGGGGTTCAGCCCCGCGGTCCAAGATCATGGCCGAATTCCAGAAATACGTCGATGCGGGTTTCACGGCTTTTGGTACGTCTTTGCCCATTCTGGGACTGCTTTAGTGTTTTGGGAGTCTGACTGGAAGATGCCGGATTATTCCTATAGACATGGCGGATCACTATGGTGATGCAGAGCTTCTCTTTGTATGAGCTTCTCGTATCCCTTTTTGCTCACGGAGAACTTTGCGTCTTCGTTTTTCTTATATACTGCTTGTTGAATCACGCCAACACTCCGCCAGGGCCGCTTCAAGTCTTCCTATACTGGATCAAAGACCATTTTCTGTTCCACAAAGTACTGTGTGTTCGAGTCAACCCCGCAAACAGAACAGGCTCTCCGGGAAGCGATATCGCGCAGATTAAGCAACATCAAATCAGACAAAATCGATTTGTTACAGTACCATTGGCATGATGTGAGTGCCCGGTTCCGTCCATCCCCCGGAGGTGAATGCAAGGTGGGATTGCTCACAGAACGCTGGGTTTAGTATGGCGATCCGCAATACATTCCGGCCCTCCGGATCATGCAAGCGGACCCTCGCGTCAGCAACCTGGGGCTGTGCAATTTTGACACCAAAAGGATGAAAGAGGCCATTGATGCGGGGATCAACTTCGCAACAAACCAGGTCCAGGTATAGTTGTGACCAAGCTTGGGCTTTTTTTGAGACGGCTCCGTGGCTATGCTAATACGACGAAGTTCTCGTTGATTGATACCAGGCCTAGATATGAAATGGAGGCCGTATGCATCAAACATAATATCAAACTGTTAACATATGGATCCTTGGTACGAGTACCTCCCAGCTCATCTGCACGATCTCTTCAGCTAATAGAGACCTACTTCATTTAGTGTGGCGGCTTCCTGTCCTAGAAATGGCTCGGTAAACCCGCTCCTGAAGCTTTCAGCGAAGGGAATGACCCCAAGCCTTAGAAAAGTGCGTACTTTATCTCCAATCCACTATTGGGTGTTGGTGACTAAAATGCATTTTCAGTACCTGGAAATGATCACGATATGGGGCGGCTGGCCTCTGTTCCAAACCCTTCTAAACACTCTCTCCGCGATCGCTGCCAAGCACTCCGTCTCAATAACCACCGTCGCTGTACGTTGGGTCCTTGACTTCCCGTATGTAGGCGCGGTCTTGGTAGGGGCTCGAATGGGTGTAAGTGAACACATCGAGGCAAACTTGGCGGTGTATGGATGGTCTTTGGACGATGAGGACCAGGGAAAGATCGAGGAGATCTTGAAAATGAGTCGCAGGGACGATGTGTTTACCGATATGGGGGATTGTGGTTCAGAGTATAGATGATAAACGAAGCAGTGGCAGGGCTTCAAATAAGGGATTCCGGGTATCTCGTCGTCCGATTGAGTCCTTATTTCAAAATGAAAAAAAAAAAAAAAAAAAAAAAAAAAAACGAAGGCGCTATCGGTGCGTTTGATGGCCGATTTTCGACAAAACTCCTATAGATATGTACGCTGGAACCGTCAGGCGAAGAATGGTGAAATAAAAAATAGATTCCGCTATTATAGTAGTACAGTTTGTTATGCTAACCAAATCCAAACCGGATCTTGCTGTTGTGTGTACCGCATCCTGACAAGACGATGCTCATTGACAAGTCGAGCGAGGCCATCGTAGTCGAGATATCGGTCAAACACTTCCCATCACTCTTACTTCCAAAGAAGTGAAGGTAAGGGGTTTCGAGAAAGCAAAACGCTTCCAGTTCGACCCCCCAAATCCTTCAAGTGACAGTTAATGAAGGTTCCGCTGTTCTTCGCACGTCGACTGATTGGCACATCATTGACAGGATATGACAACTCAAAGTGGTGCGTCAAAGTAGGGGAGTTTGCGATTGTGGGTAAAACTGACGCAGTGATGCCATTAACGCGGGTTTCTGAGAAGATTGGATGAGTAGCTATATCAACGATCAATCTTCTTTCTTAGAAGGATCGTCTGAGATATCGGCATCTTCATCGTCGTCCAAGGGGACATCCATTACCCGCTGGCCTGCCTTCTCCAAGATCCGACAGCTCCACGCTCGAACGCCTTTATACACACCCTGAATTAAATTGTTAGAAAATGCAAGTTAAAAAAGCGCGAGATGGTTGCATACCAATAGGAAAGTAGCCACTCCTATCACAATGACAATCCAGCTGACGGACGAAACTCTGTTCCTACCGGTAGCGCCGGGTCGTCGACCGCCCCCAACGAGACCCGAGTTACGTAGATTCCACCAATGCCACGGTGAAACCGCAAAGATAACCTTCAGAAATGACAGGACACCCAGTGATGCAAGGCCCTTAACAAAATGCTCTGGCCAGGTCGCCGCTTTCTTCACCAAGGGAATGGGTTCGTCTCCTTCCTCCCAAAAAGTGCCAGATGCAATTGTTTCATATGGATCAACGTATAGATTGATAATCGGATCAGCAACAAATCCAAGGACAAACATCACTGACAGCAGAACCAATATAGTGAGGAGAATCTGCATGGAACTGCCGCTGATCAATCTACCCCATGCCACACGTTGTAGCTTGTATTGAAAACCACATGTCGGACACTGCCAAAAGTTCCTCTGGCCATAACGAGGATCTGCATGCCTCCATTTGCTCAAGCAACCCTCGTGAACGTATCTTGACGAGCCCTTGCACTTGCAAGGCCGAATTAAACGCCCCAGTGATGGATCTTCCGACTCATACGTGACACGAGGGCCGGATTGCAGGAAGGACGGAAGGTTCTCTGACATTGGGTGGTATGTCGGGGGAACAGTTTCCAAGCATATCCTGCAGGTCTTGGAAGGATAAGTCCTGCTTGTCCTTGGGGGTTCACCGCTGGGGTCAGCCGGCTCTGTTGGATTACCCTGTTGTTCTGTACTGGGCGAAGCTGCAGCTGGATGGGCAGCTGGGTCTTCGGGCCAATGCCACGAAGGAGCGTTACGTTGTTGACCCGGGAGCTCCATGAGTTCCAGAGGAAGGCGAGGAAAACGGTTGAACGGCAAGGAATAACTTGAGTAAAACAGTTGGAGGATATTAGGACATACATACAAAAATCACCCCGCACCAAAACCTAGCTGGCATAAATTTGTCCAATCTCCAAGTGCTAGAGACATGGCTCACACAGCGGCGGTGCAAGACCAGAGAAAGGATGCTTGAACGATGGAAGTTGTTTTTGGACGAGGACCACGAAAAGTGTGTGCTGGCCGGACCAGGAACGGCAGGATTACCCGATCGCCTAATCTTGCACTCCAAACTACGTAAACACCTCTGCCGCCTTGAGCTGGAGCTCTCTCAACGTCCAGCATCACCACCTGAAAGATACCCGCCTCTCCTTGACCGTTACAATTACCTTTCTTTTGCGCTGCTAGTAGGAACCTGTATCTGACTTCTCTATCATGGCCGACCGTTATTCCTTTTCTTTGACCACGTTCTCCCCCAGGTTTGTCTCCCGGCTCACTTAATTCTCTGGCCAAACCGGGGCTAACAAGTAATACAGTGGAAAGCTCGTTCAAATTGGTATAGAAGCTTCAATTGCTGGCTACAGAACAGGAATAGCTGATTTTATCTTACAGAGTATGCTTTGAATGCTGTGAATCAAGGTGTAACAGCGCTGGGAATCAAAGGTGCGAAGGGGATGGCCGCCTTGGCTGAATTTGATAGCTCACCATCTTTTCTCTTAGCTACGAATGGAGTTGTCCTTGCTACAGAAAAGAAATCCTCGTCGCCGCTCATCGATTCCTCGTCCCTGTCGAAAATCTCCTTAATCACTCCGGATATCGGCATGGTGTATTCAGGTATGGGACCTGACTACAGAGTACTCGTGGACAAAGCCCGCAAAACATCACATACTGCCTACAAGCGTATTTACAATGAATATCCACCCACCAGAATACTCGTACAGGATGTTGCCCGTGTTGTTCAGGAGGCAACTCAGTCCGGTGGTGTAAGGCCGTATGGAGTCAGCCTCCTCATTGCGGGATGGGATGAAGGGATCCAACCAGAGACTACAGAAGCCCAACAAGGCGAAACAGAAGCAGAAAAGAAAAAGGCTTCAGGTAAAACGGGGGGCATCTTGAAAGGCGGGCCCAGTTTATACCAAGTGGATCCCAGCGGCAGCTACTTCCCCTGGAAAGCAACGGCAATCGGTAAAAGCGCAACTTCCGCGAAGACCTTCCTTGAGAAGAGATATACAGAGGGCTTGGAACTGGAGGACGCAGTTCATATTGCGCTGCTTACGCTTAAGGAAACCATTGAAGGGGAGATGAACGGGGATACCATTGAAATTGGTAAGCCTATTGGCTCGAAGCACGATGAGGTAACTGACAGTTCTGCAGGCATCGTTGGGCCACCGGCCGATCACTTGCTAGGTTTTGAAGGAGTAGAAGGTGCTCGAGGGCCCAGATTCCGAAAGTTGACGAAGGAGGAGATTGAGGACTATTTGACCAACCTATGATAGACTCACGTATGAGCTTTGCATTTGGATTTATTCCACAGAGAATTGTAATGATAGATCCGGGTGTTTGAGGAGAATCAAGCAGGATTGAACGTTATCTAAAATGGTTATAACTTATATCGAAGCGTAACTAGCAACGAGTAGATCCTTGTAAAAATTGCGTTGTCGAGTTATGAAAATGGGATATTTCAATTTTTGAGCCTTGATTAAGGAAGCCAAAGGCATATTTGCTTGCAGGGCCATAAAAAGAGGAGCTATATCAGAGGTACTCGCGTTCAGAGCACGGGTGATAGCTGACTAGGTAGCTGACTGGGGAGAATGATAACCAAAGGTGGGGTACATCTAGCACCACCAACCGTGGCAACCTCCATCAAAAGGGGTCGGCGCTCTGCATATCTAGCTTAATACCGCGCGCCTTGTTTGGGAGTTTCATCACTTTTCCATGAGAATATGCAAAAAACCATTTTTAGAGAATGTGCAGTACCTTGAGGGGCTGGCGCGCATCTACTCTCAAAGGCTTTTCATAGCTATCATTTCTAGCCTACGATGACTACTGATACCGACGATGAACAGAGCTCGAAAAGACAAAAGGTTCAGGTTGAAGTTCCAGTTCCCGCAACTGGGCCCACTGATGCTGCAAATATGGCCTCGCCTCCCCGTCGGCCTCGACAATATCAGCTTGAGATGCTGGATGAGAGCCTGCGCCGGAATGTTATTGTCGCGGTCGGTCTCCAACCCTTAGCTTCATTCCCTTTGTTAACATATGAACATGTAGATGGATACTGGGAGCGGAAAAACTGAGATGTGGGTGTCAGTCTCTATCGGGGTAAATCCCAATTCCTAAAATGTTCGCTCAGTGCAATTCTTCGAATACAAAAAGAATTGGAACGATGCCCTATTCATAAAGTAAGCCGATTACACGACTCTAACATATTAATGCTGCGTGGATACTTATTGGCGACAGTTTGTTTGGTTTATGACGCCGACTGTCGCTCTAGCCGAGCAGCAGCATTCTGTGATATCGAAGCAGTTACCTGCTTTCCAGACTCGGATGCTGACCGGATTAGATAACGTTGACCATTGGTCGACTAAGAAAATATGGGACAGTATTCTTTTGAATATTAGAATTGTTATTTCTACTCCTCAAGTATTGCTGGATGCATTATCTAATGGCTTTGTGCACTTGCACGGCATAGCCCTTCTGGTTCTCGATGAAGGTAATACCCATTCACTTGTAACGTTGATGAATATACTTACACGAGTAGCCCACCATTGTATCCGAAGTGCTCCTGCGAATAAAATTATGCGAGACTTCTATCATTATCAAAAACGGGAGGACGGAAACACGGATTGTCTACCTCATATACTAGGCCTGACCGCCAGTCCCATTTCGAGTGGACGCCATACCGATCTGGAGTACTGATTTCTACCCCTAGTTCATACCTCAACATAATCGCTGATACAATACTAGGAAATTGGAGCAAAATCTAGACGCCGTCTGCGTATCTCCCAAAATGCATCGGGAAGATATGATGCAATTCGTATATATGCCGCGGTACTACAACATCGAGTACCAGAATGATTTTTGGAATGGCCTCTCAAAAGCGGAAGTGCTCTCCTTCATCCTGGACAAACTTGAGATTGGAAACGATCCGTATGTTAAAGTTATGAGGCAAAAGAACGACCCGAGGAATCAGCAGAAACTTTTCGACGCCATAACTAAAAGGAAAACCCCTTGCCTTGAGCAGTTGACAAAATGTTCCAATAGGATGGCAGTCATCCATGAAGAGCTTGGCCCCTGGGCTGCGAACAGTTTCCTTACTCGCTGCATGAAACAGCTCCGGGATAAATACTCCAATAGCCCCGAGACAAATTGGACAGATTGGGATCGAGAAGATCACTTGTACATCACCAGTGTGCTATCACAGGTAACCCCTTCAAATCTTGATGAGTACTTGGATGTTGAACCAAACGAAGTATCTACAAAGGTAAATAAATTGATTGATTTTCTGGAGAACGAACACGTCAACGGATCTATTGGAATAATCTTTGCTCGAGAACGATCGACTGTCGTCATGCTCACGCATTTGCTGTCTCTGCACCCGCGCACGAAGCATATTGGAACGATTGCTTTTTTAGGAAGCTCGTCCTTTGCTTCTCGAAAATCTGACATTACAGAACTGCATAATACCAAAGCGCAGATGACTGCTCTGGATGACCTTCGCAATGGCAAGAAAAATCTTATCATAGCAACGTCTGTCCTCGAAGAGGGTATCGACGTGCCGGCCTGCGATCTTGTTATCTGTTTTGACTTTCCCCAGAACCTAAGGTCTTTCATACAGCGGAGGGGAAGAGCAAGGAAAAAGGGGTCTAAATTTGCTCTTTTCGTTGATATACAGGATCACGCGGCCATTAGCACGCTAAAGGCAGTGGAAGAAACAATGAAAGGTTTATACCTCGAAAACGAAAGGACGCTAGAGGAACTCCAGCTCTTGGAGGAAGCTGAGGAGGATGGATATGATGGCTTCCGCATTAAGTCAACAGGGTGAGTAAAGTGCATGACGGAAACTCTTGGATATTTGTTATTAATCGATTATAGGGCCCTGCTTACACTATCAAATGCTCGAAACCACCTTTCACATTTTTGTGGGATCCTAGCCTGTGAATACGCAGATACAGAGCCTACATTCATGGTCCAAGGCGATGAATTAAGCGGGCTTTCGGCTAAGGTTATTCTACCCAATTTCTTTGAACCTCGCCTCCGAGAATTTCGCGGAATCTCAACGTGGAGGACAGAAAGGATGGCTAAGAGAGATGCTGCATTCCAAGCATACGTAGCGCTATATAAAGCAGGGCTAGTCAATGACTATCTGATGCCCATAAACCATCGAGAAAACAGCGCAGATGATGTTGGTAGCATGGAACGACCGAGTTTTGCGAATGTGTCGGATATTTTTGACCCTTGGGCAACTGTTGCAAATCAATGGCAGAAAGCAACTGAATTATATCAAAGTGTCATCGAGATAAGCACCGACTCCCAAGTTATTTCCCCAATGCTTATGGTTCTCCCGGTAGGGTTACCATGTGATATTTCATTCAGGCTCTTTTGGGACGAAAATACTACTTTCCTGGTTTCTGCCACAAGGACGACTCAAAAATTTGCGGCTGAACTTGTCAGCCTTGCTGCCGATACGACCTCGATTCTTCTCTCGTCTTTGTTCTCTCAAAAAATGATGCCTGGAAAACTAGACTTTTCTTGGTTATTTTTACCTCGCATGGACTTAATCGAATCCTCTATTAAGGAATGGTGCAAATCTGTCCGAGGAAAGATCTTTTTAAACGATATCGAAAAGGATTCGACCGCCCTCAAGGCCCTTGGCCTTGTGAGACGAATTGATAATAGATCGCGGCCTTTTACCTTTGAGGATCTGGTATGGAAATATATTGAAAATGAAGCGACTGATGGAGCCAACGTCAATGAGGAAGATACCGCCAGCTGCGAGGTGCTACATGTCGAAGGCAAAGTGTGGCCTAAACGCACTGATTTTTTGCATCCGGTAGCAAATTTGGATACCTCCAAAATGCATCATACTGCAAAATGTTTCCACCCAGCGAGTGAATGCACGATCGATAAACTACCAATACAATATACCCGATTTACATTGTTTATCCCTTGCTTAATACATAATATCGAGAAGACCCTAATTGCGGATGAGCTAGCTCGAACGATTTTACGTCCAGTCAAGTTCAGTGACCTATCACTTGTTTTAACAGCCATTAGCTCATCTGTTGCTCGGGAGGCCTCCAATTACCAGCGTCTAGAATTTTTGGGAGATAGCCTCTTAAAGTTATATACATCAATCGAGCTCGCTGCAAAAAACCTGCAATGGCCAGAAGGACTTTTGACAAGCAGGAAAAGCCATGTTGTCTCAAACAGCCACCTGGCAAAAGCAGCGACAGAGACAGGGCTGGATAGGTTCATCCTCACGAAGCCCTTCAGCGGCGCTAAATGGCGTCCTTCATACAATACAGATCATGTCCACGCTGGCGACGAAGAGGGATCACCGAGAGTGATGTCTACCAAAGTGTTGGCAGACGTTGTTGAAGCTCTAATTGGCGCAGCAAACATTGACGGGGCTGATGAGAAAACATTGGATTGTTTGAAAGTGTTCCTTCCAGAAATCAACTGGTCTCCGTTGGATGAAAGCGTTGGCCTCCTTTATCGCAATGCGACCGATTCTGGCGACGAGTATAGTATGGTCTTGCCAGAAATCGAGGAACTCTTGGGATACACTTTCACCAAGAAGTCTCTCGTTTTGGCTGCATTGACCCATCCGAGCAGCACCACCTCCCGCCACTCCTACCAACGACTCGAATTTATCGGTGACTCGGTGTTGGATATCATAGTAGTCCAAGCCTTATTCGGATCACCGAGGGAGTTCGCACATTATAATATGCATCTTATGCGCACGGCACTGGTCAACGCGGACTTTTTGGCTTTTTTATGCATGAACGTATACGTGGAAAAGGATCGAGGCGAAGCGGTAGAGAATATCAAGAAAAAGGTGAAAATTGAAATGACAAAACGGAAAAGCCACCTTTGGGGATTTATGAAGCACTCACAGTCCTGGGATATCGTTCATGCCCAAAATAGCGCCATAAAACAACACGAAGAACTGCAAGAGGAAATCAATGAGAGGCTAAACTCATCGCAATCGTACCCCTGGACACTCCTTTGTCGTCTGGATGCAGCCAAGTTCTTCTCAGACATCATCGAAAGTATCCTCGGCGCGATCTTCATCGACTCTCAAGGTTCGATGAGTGCATGCGAGGCCTTCCTTGAACGCATCGGATTGATGCGGTATGTGAGAAGGGTCTTGTCCGAGAACATTGATTTCATGCATCCAAAGCAGCGATTGGGCCACTTGGCCAACGCCCTTTCAGTCCGGTACGAGACCAAGCAGACTCTGGAAAGCGAGGCGCGACGATGGGAGTGCACCGTTCGTGTAGGAGACGAGGAGATTGTGCGTGTTGGAGACGGCATCAGTAACATAGAGGCCGAGACTAGAGCCGCTGAGGCCGCCGTGGCCGTTTTGCGAACAAGGGAATGCAGAAATGAGAGTCAAATGCCAGATGATGGGATGTCGGAATAATGTTTGATTTGTTGCAGATGACTTAGGATAAATGGATAGAGTAACAAGCTGATTAACGAGATAGACCATGATCAGGGCATAGTAGAATCCACATTGTTTTATTAGCTTCAGGTAGTTATGTCTTTCTCTTCTATTTCATGTTTGTGGCTGATTCACAACCCTTGCTCTGTGCTCACCCTCAACCCCCACAGTCATCACTCTCACTCACCAAAGGCTCACCCCTGCTCACCTTCAAAGCACCACTGTTGGAGAGCTCTCAGCAGAACTGCACTCGACAAGTGGCTGAAGTACAGCCGAGCGGACAGGAAGCCCTGTTTTCCACTGCCTATAATCGTATGTGTTTGTTCTTTTCTTATAGCTGCATCCAACTAGTTATACAATCCTTTTCGCCTATGCAGGAATACTCGGTCAACCCCTCACCTTTGCTCCGTGACTTACTTCCCCGGCGCCGTGTATGTTGAATTTCAGACTAAACTCATAGCTTTATAACTATCTCAAGACGATCAATACCCCTACACAACATGAGGGCTCTAGTGACTATCGGGGCCTGCTACCTTGACACCATCTTAACGTGAGAGATAACGTGGTGCCTGTGCTTCCCACTGTTGTCTCTTGCTGATGTTTGCTTTGGATAAAGAGTCGATTATTACCCAAACGAGGATGAAAAGCGGCGCGCATCGTGCCTTTCACGGCGACGTGGTGGAAACACCATGAACTCCCTCGAGGTCCTCGAACAACTGTTGGAGCACAGAGAGACTGTTTTGAAGCTTCCGACACCCATGCCACTCTATGCGGTCGCAGTATTGCCGGCAAAATTATCCTCTGCAACAAGGGGGATTGAGGCATCCTGGGGACCAAAGGTGAATTTCCAGCATTGCATATACAGAGAGGACTGCACAGAACCGGCGTCAAGCTATATAATCAAAAGCCAGTCTGCCGGCACCCGGACCATTGTCAACTATAATGAGCTCCCAGAAATGAGCACTGAGGAGTTTATCCAAATAGCAGACAGTATGCCTACTGCACCAAAGTGGTTTCATTTTGAAGTAACTTCCCTGTTTCGAGCTCTGTTTTCCCTTGCTGTCATGCTTCTCCTGAGCGCGAGGCGAATTCTAACTCTCTACATTAGGGCCGTATACCGGATGTCACCCTACAATGCATACGGTACGTCCGTAAATTAGGCCCAGAGCACAAAATCAGTGTAGAGGTTGAGAAACCCAATCGCGTGGGTTTGCAAGAGTTGGCAGCAGAAGCTGATGTGGTATTCTATTCCAAGAGCTGGGCCCAGGTAACTATAGCCAAAAACCCAATGATCAAAAGTTCTCGCACCGCATTTATACTAAAGTCATTGATCTTAGGGGAACGGTTTCCAGTCGCCCCAAACTTTCTTGCAGGCACAGTCGTCTTTGACACCCCAGTCGTACGGCTCTCCGTTGATCGCTTATATTCGCCTCTGACTTATTCATTTTAAAGCTAACAATGAAATAGATCAATTTTGTGCTGCACATGGGGCGAGCAAGGTGCTGTGGGCCTCGACAAGCGCAAGATGGCGTATGTTCACAGTCCAGCGTCTGTGGATGCAACTCTTCCTATCGTTGAGTATGTGAGAACTTCTAGTTTGTCATCTAGCACCGAACAATCAGCCACTTATTGATATGTGTTATCCAATAGTACAATCGGCGCAGGCGATACTTTTATTGCTGGTATGCTCTATGGTTTGATCTATCATGAGACCGATTTCGATCTCCAAAAAGCGATGCATTTTGCAAATCGTCTTGCAGGCCGTAAAGTCACGCAAGAAGGGTTCCAGGGGCTGGGGAAAGTTGTGGTGGAGGATGTATAGCCACCGCGGTTTCTTGTGTCCAGATTGACCATGTAAAGTGTTTGGCGAAGCCATACCTCTCCGGAATTTTACTATTGTTTTTTCTCCTAGGTGATATAAAAATCACGCTGCAGTGACCTTCCCGCCATGCCTCACTTGGATGTAGCTTGGTCTTACAAACCTATCACCATTCCTATGTATATACAGGTCAAATACTGCACCCCCTACGAGCTCTCTCACCTTTGGGCTTTTTGTTGCTGAGCGCGGAGAGCGTTTATCGTACGTCGAATAGCGCTCTGGCGGCTAGCCACTGCTGGGAATGTGGGTGTTTTGAAAGCAAGCAGCAGGCTTCTCGTTGCTAGGAATGTCTTCCGCCACCAATATTCTTGGTGCTTCCACCGAGCTGTCTCTAACAGGCACGCGGGGCTTTTTGGCCTACTATCTCCAATCAAACATCATTCGATACGATCTAACAGGACACGTTCAGAGCTTAAAACCCGATTGCACGATGCCAATTACGCCATTTTTTGGACAGAGGAGGGTACCCTGATTTGTAACGACAAGCAGCTCCAGAGCCGTTGGGTTCACCCAATCTTTGGGCAAGAAAAAGTGTCTCCGGTGGTTTTTATACACCGGCTGAACTGCCCACGTACACAGCCAGAACTGATGGTCGACAAACACCAGCTGATCTTGACAAAACCCGATTAGGTGGCGAACATGTTTTTCCAAGCCCTTAATTCTCGAGTTTTTTGAAGCAGTTGCTGGCAAACCTCCTTTGCGCAATGTGCGAAGATCAACAAGCTCAATATGACGACTTTCAGCCCCGTTAAAGGTATTCCCGGTAGCGAGAACCGTTTCTTGCACAAGCAAGCGATTTCCCAGTTGCACCGCTCGAGAGACCGTACGGGTGGGAACCGGCGACTCTGGGGTTAGGCGGCCTTCTCGCCCTTCTTCTAAAGTCTTCTTCTCTCTCCGAACAATTGACAGAGATTTCCATGAAATCTCCCGCTCACGTGTTGCCTCCATGCATAAAAAGACAGAGGGGTTCTTTGGATGATTTAAATATACAATTCCAGTTGTTGAGGGCCACTCTACGCGGCACAGCGTTTCTTTCGATTTGAGTTTCATAACCCGAGCTGTATTCGGGCAGGCAATCAAGAGAAACTCTTCAGTTGAACTAAAAAGTAGGTGCTCGACGGCCTCATCGACTCGGATATCAAACAACCGAAACACGGCCCATTTATTTGTTCCCTTCGCCGGTGGCTGAAGCCTCTTCGCGATGACGCGGCTTGAATCGTCTGCTGATACGATATACTTCCGCGACACCGACCAAACAAGCTTGATGACCGATACAGAAGAGTCGTGGCTCGTGATCTTCCTCACCTTGGCCCCCTCTGGGATACTATATAGGGTAACGGTCCCATCCTCCTTCCCGCAGCAGTAAAAGCCCCCGGTAGAGTCGCAGGCTAGAGCAGATATTCCGGCCCGGGTGTTGTTATCTGTGGAAATAACTGGCTCAGACGTTATTGTCTCATATGTGCTGGAACGCTCATCAAAATCTAGGTCAACTGGTCGAAAAAGTGCGTCCGGCTCCCAGACGTTGCAAAACGTGCCACGAGTGTCATAGAGCCTTGTCCCGTCTGGGGAAAAGGCCAGGCTATATACTAGCTCCTCGTACTGCAAGCGGTACGTCAGACGATATTCCGGCACCATCCACAGACTCAGCGTTCCATGAACATCACTTGTGAGGAGCAGATTTCCGTCCGGGCTCAATGCCATTTCCCTCGCATTTAGATGGCTATGTTGTGTTTGTTCATCTTCTGCCACGTCCCAGTCGACGACTTTGGTATCTTCGTAGAGGATTACAAGGTGATTAGTGGTGGGATGCCACAAAGCCATTTCGGGGCAATTCCAAGTAGCTCCTTCGTCTGGCAACCGCGTCCCGTCCGCCCGAAGCATACTGCAGCGTTTCGGCGGAATCGGAACGTATTTGGCAGAATCTGGGAGCCGCCAGACAACAACCGGTCGACCACGGAAGACGATCGCTATCTGTAAGTTGTCTGGGCTAAATGCCATGTATCGAGCACAATAATACTTGTCCACCTCCGGTTCGTGCGCGAGAAAGCTCCATTTCTCCTGGCCAGTCTTCATGTCAATACATTGGATCAAACAGTCGTCGTACGCCACAATAATTTCATCTTCCCTCTCGTTAAAGCTCATGGCTGTGGTGTGGTGGTGGAGCTCTTTTGGGAGGCAATGCAACATCTCCCCCGTTGTAATATCCCATATTTTTGTCGTTTTATAGCCTGCTGTTGCAATAAGATTCGATGTCTTGCTGCAAGTAGCGTGCATGACATATTCTCCATGGGTGATGCGGCGGATTTCCTCGCACGTTTCTGCTTGCCAGATAATCAATGTTCCATCGATGCCTACGAGGGTAATGAAGAGATTATCCTTGCATAGCACTTTCATTGCAGCTTGGTCTTCGCCGGTACTTAGTCGTGCGAGGCAATCATCCCATGTGGTCGACGATATGCCTGAAACCGCAAAATGTGAAGAACCGACACGGTGAAACGACGAGCTTATAATAGAGCCGGTAGGGCAGAATGGCACAACATACTTGTGAATTGACGAAGGACTTTCAATGAGGTTTGCCCCGAATCGACCAACGATGCGGATGAGATCATTCGCCCACATTCGCAGTTCCTCATCTCGGGCTAGTGTAAAGCTCGCCGGCGGACCCTGGGAGGTCTTAGCTGCCCTCCTCTTTGCATAAGTTTTAAGATATCGAGCTGCTTGAATGAGAACTCGCAGGTTGTGGGATAGTGCTATGGCCTGGATCCACACCAAACAGTGATTTTGTAGGAACGTTAGCACTGCCTCGAGAATTTCATCGGAGGACACGGGCGCGAGGCTCACGTGGTAGGCCCAGAATGCTATGGAATAGGACAGAAATGGATATTGCCTAAAAATGCCTGTATCACTAGGCAGTCTTTCGCGCTGTTCCTGCAGGAGGGTGAAGACCCGTTTCCATTTGGCCGAATCTGAGAGGAAACTGAGGCAAACCATTGAAGCGTGCTCATGGCCTTCGCTTCCCCCAATTCCAAGATCACGATTTGAGACTTTTTGCAACAAGAATTGGCGCGCTGTTTGATGAATAGGGGCTACCTTGGACCGATTGACGGCGACAAAATTTCCGCACACATCAGTTATCGTCTGTTCCAGGTTATAAAAGTCCTGGAAATCTGGCTTGAGAGCTGTTTCCAGTTCAGAAATATTGAGTGGCCTAAAGGCACATGCTGCCCAGTTCAAAACCCGTGATGCAATCTTTCGAGGCCCAGGTGGCTGATTTGCAATCGACTCGATCATTCTCTCATATAGCGGCTCCATTCCCTCTGGAATCTCACTTAATGCCTTCTTAATATCACCTATGGTGTACCAATTATCTCTGATTCCCTCCAAAGCCAGCTTAACCCAGAGAAAAGACCCAGATGCCTTGTCCAAGATATCTGTCATAATATTCTGTGCATAGTCGCCCGGAATGATCTTATGGATGGAAGAATTTACGTATGCGCGAATGTCCGCTTCTGTGTCATCCATTGAAATCCTATCGTGGACTATGGCTGGGAGGAAGTCATTAATGTCCCTCGTGAGCTCTCTCGTGGCCCGGCTTACTAAGAGAATTTTGACTCCTGCTGCGGATGTTAATTTCGACAACAGCCGAAGTAGTTCAGAAGGCCCGTCTGCCTCGTCAAGGCCATCGAATATCCAGAAAACAGGACCAGAAGCTGGCAGCCTGAAGAATATGCCTTCGAAAAGTTTCTCCCAGAGGAATGTTGCCTTTTGATTCCCGAAGTTGATTCCCGTGTTCTCTTGGAGGTTCAGAAGATGAGCCCGGAAATCTTCATGCGACAACGCCAATTGTAATGCCAGGCTGCGAAGGAGATAAGACAGTGTTCGCTTGGCGTGGTGGGCCGCAAGAAAGAAATGGAAATGGCAGCTGCCGATTTGGCGTTTTCTTAGCTCTGATATCACAAATCCAGCCAGGGTTGACTTCCCCGAGCCCGGGTTTCCCGTCAGCCAAAGGGAATTGGGGGAGCTGGTTTCATTTTCAACCCAAACTCGAAACGATTCGCGCCGTAGGAGCCACTCGCAAGATCCCGGCATGGTGCGAGTCTTAATAGACTCAAGGTCATCCTCCGCGCTTTCAGATATCCCAAGCACCTCTTTTATCCTCTCCCCTACAGTTTCATAGCTAGATATCTGCCAGGAGGAGTCTGTTGTAAGGCTCGAGCACCTACTCCGACTTCGTATTGTCGGTACTACATTTTTCTCGAATGAGCTTTCGAGTTTTCAAAGGGGGAACAGAAACTGACATTGAAGGCCGAAAGTGTCTCTCTGTAGAGCTTTCTTCGCCAACCACCTCAAAGCGCCTCTCACGGATTGGTAATTCGGGTCCTGTGGGTTTTCGAACTTGGCCACACCATGGTGATCTGCCTGAAGAGTCCCCGACGTTTCTTTCGGGTATCCAAGAAATGCGGAGTCCTTGCTTACGATCTGGCGCATGTCAACTTTATTATCAGCTCTTAACTCACATGGCACGGGGTACCGACTGAAAAAGCAGGTGTATGTCACTCACAATTTTCTTATACCCAGGCATGACGCTTGTTTTTAGGCCTTCACAGAACGAAACAAGCTCCAAACCGGCACAGACATTGCGAAATTGTTCGTTGATATGCTGTAATGTTGATGAACCTCTTTCCAACTCTGTCGCGTATGAATTCAAACTATAACCAGGAGTCGTTTTCAAAATATTATTGCATGTTTGGGCAAGCGAGGACCCTTTGTGCGGAGTAGCGAGAAATACCATTGCCATCACGCGCTCCATGATGGGAGCGATTTGATTATCAGCCGTTCCAATGATGTATGCCTGTGCTTTCATTAGAACTATTCCCATCGTCCTCGTTAACTGTGGAATGCCCCTCATACATTTTTCACAATGAGTCCTCCCATTGAATGAGCAACAAAAATGATCGGAACCTATGGCAATATCGTTAGAAGCGGGTAAGAATGTATTAGCTTAGGAGTTCCTATCCTACAAACCTCTCCGATTGCTGCAGCGCTCGCAAGGCCCTCTCCAGCATACGTCTTCATTCGATGTGTCAAATCCTTAGCAAAATCGAGGACGCCGTTGGTTACGTATTTCCCTGAGATGGTCGCGTCATACCCATAAGTGAATATGCGGGAGTTCTTGGTCTCAGGGTCATTTTTGAGCCATAGGGGCCAGAAATTCTTGGGGTTACGATCCCACGACCATGTGCGGATCGATAGCCCTCCAAGTCCATGCACGAAGATGAGGTCTAATTCCGGGTTTTCGGAGGAATATACTAGAGTCAATCCTAGGGGGTCTATTGGGGTAGGAAATGAAGAGACAGTATTCGTGCTTTGCAGTGGCTCCAGGATCGAACTGCTGCGGGCTGGATTGAGCCCAAATGAACCCACTCGCTCTTGGGGGCGTAGGGACGGCCGGCGGTAAGGGATCGTTGGCTCGGATGCTCGCTTCATTGCGTGTGAGACCGGACGATCGTTGGAAATAGTACTCTCGTTTTCCAGGCCTGATTTGGGAGTACCTTCTTCATAATCATCAGGATGGTCATTTGTGGTTTCCAAGGGTTCGCAAGAGGAGATCTTCTCTTTGTATCTGCGAAACTGTGCGGCACTTCCGTAAGCGACATGGCCCTTCTCAGGATGCGTGAATGCATACCATATCTGCCATTAAGTTCACTTCATGGCGTTGAGCTTTCGATGACCCAGCACTGGACAACCCACACACAATTATAATTGTCAGAAATGGCCTCTGTGGAACTCTGACAATGGCTTGTGCCGCAAAACAACGACTTCGTCGTTATCAGTGGAGCGACCGATTTGAACCCGGAGAGGAGGTCAGTAATTCGCCTGTATCAGCGAATTGCGTAAGACGACCTAACAGCGAATTTCAAAAATGATGCTTCGTCTGGTGAGTAAACTATTATTAGTTCGTTCCCTCTGATCAAGAAACCAAGGCTAAGGGACTTGAACAGCCTCAACCGAACACCCTTGTCTATCGGGACTCTAGCGAAGCAGCGCGGGGACCAATACGAGGGACCTGGGGCACGAGTAAGGCTGGTCTTGGCCGTTCCGGTTTCCTCCTCGTTGAAGGGCATAAGCTCATGGAACCCGCCCGCCCCCGAGTAATGGTGGTACAGCCTGTGCCTGAAGAACCAAGAACCAAAGAGTTTTGAAGCCTAGATGTTCAATTGGCCCGCCGCAGAGCTCGAAATAGCGATGGGATAAGGGATGAGTACTCCGTAGGGTCTTGAGAACGCAAGTTGCAAATGGTGAAGGTCGTGGCTGAATTGAAAAAAATGCCATCGATGTGGACACGGAGTTGACTAGTCACGCGGGGCTGAGAATGCAGCGAGGTCTTGCCAACTGCAACGTCTGCATCACTCTGCAGTCGTGATCCGAAGCCAAGCCGAACTTCCAGCCAGGGTGCTCAATCAACAGCTTCTTGATAATAGAGGAGTGGGTAGTCGATGAATAATTACCATGGCCAGGAAGAGCAACAGAGAACTTCTATGAAGGTCCGTCGACGAGTTATCAGTGATTTTGCTCTTTTTCTGAATCGCAACGAAGGCATCGCTACGGAGAACAGTGACCCCGCAAGAATGACCAGCTCCCTTGTGAACACGGCCTGGAAGATAGCGGCACAATTTCAGTTTACAGACAGCGATGTTCGGAGTTGTGCTCGCCAATTTATTGAGGAGATGAGTAAGTAAACGAACTGTTCTCCTAGTGAGATGTTACTCTACATGCATAGAGCAGCATATTCTGTTGATTGCGTTCATCTCTGATATATTCGAGGTTGCAGACGAAGGTTTGTGCCGGCGGATGCCGGCCATGTGCCAGATACCAACGTATCTCACCCGAGCGGCACAAGGAACTGAAAAGGCTAGTATTGAAACCGCGACTCGCTTAGAGCAGGGCAGGTTGCTGATTGGAATATTCATCAGGGTCTCAGTTTGGCAGTCGACCTTGGCGGTACAAATTTGCGAGTATGTTCGGTTGATTTACATGGGGACGGGACGTTCCATGTCGAGCAGACTAAAGTTGCCGTGTCGAAGCAACTCATGGTCGCTCCAGAAGCATCGCAATTATTCTCCTATATTGCCGCACAGATCAAGGACTTTTTGGAGCTCCATCATGGAGACTATCTTGGGTGTTGCAAGGCTGGTGACCTACAACCCCTGAGCCTAGGCTTCACGTTCTCGTTCCCTGCCTATCAAACCAGCATTCAATCAGGAGTTCTCCTGCGCTGGACTAAAGGCTATGATATTCCCTGCGTAGTAGGACAAGATGTCTGCCAACTTCTTCAACAAGAGATCAGTCTGCTTCGGCTTCCGGTGCGGGTGACGGCCCTGGTCAATGATGCCGCTGGAACGATCATGTCGCGCGCCTATACTTTGCCCCTACCTCAGACTCGTACGTCTATTGGTGCCATTTTCGGCACAGGGACGAATTGTGTCTATCTCGAGAAGCTTTCAAATATATCCAAACATTTGGATGGGGATTATGACAGGTCCACCGGCGAGATGTTTATCAGCATCGAATGGGGTTCGTTCAACAATCATCTTTCGGTCCTGCCGAACACGCCTTACGACGAAGAATTGAACGCCTCGAGTGCGAATCGTGGCAATCAAATGTTTGAAAAACGAGTCTCGGGTATGTTTCTCGGCGAACTTCTTCGAATCGTCCTTCTCCAAATGCATGAGGATCCCCAAGTAGGACTGTTTCGCCGTGGCGATTTGATCGGAGTCTCAGGCCTTGGTGCCTCGTCTCCGTTGCGACAGCGATGGTCAGTCGATTCGTCAATTCTGTCCACAGCCGAAGCGGACACAGCAGATGATCTAGGATTGTTGAGGGAGGTTATTCAGGGACAACTCGGGGTTCCATCGGCCAATATCTCCATTGAGGATGCGTCGGCAGTGAAGACCATTGCTTGTGCAATCGGGAGGCGTGCTGCAAGGCTAGCTGGTATGGCAATTGGTGCAGTGGTTTTGAAAGTTCTCTCATCAAGAAGGGCTCAAGCTTCTCCAGTACAACGCGACATCAAAAATCAAACAGTCAAAGCCTCGAATGGAATATGCGTCGCTTCTGCGATATCCGATCCGGAAACGGAGGCCACTCCAGAGCAGGACATGATCGATATCGGGGTTGACGGAAGTTTAATTGAGCACTATCCAAGATTCGAGAAGCACATGCGTGAAGCCTTAAGGTCGATTGATGGGATTGGTGTCGCGGGCGAAAAGAAAATAAGGATTGGCATAGCTAAAGACGGCTCGAGTGTCGGCGCGGCTATTATCGCCCTTCTCGCAACACAATCAACTTTCTGAGCCTTTTTGTTTCTTCGAGCATTAGTTATCTCCGTCTGCAACCCAACATTCAAAGTATGATCGCTCTTGACGTGTATTTCTGCCCGCGTCCAATGCAATTCGTAGAACGAGTTCCCCAGTCCAATTATCATCGTATTCTTGGGACAAAGGTTTTTAAAAAACGAAAAAAGAAAAGGGAGGGAAACTTATGACATCAGAGTCTATCGAAGGGAGTATAAAGTTCCAAACAGAGTCGACCCAGCACCATGTGTCCTGCTCCTTGAGGTACAGCTGTCCTAGTTCTTAGGCTCGTGCAACCTCGTGCTCGTCCTCTTCCTCCTACTCCTCCTCTTCCTCCTCTTCTTCTTCCTCCTCTTCCTCCTCTTCCTCCTCTTCCTCCTCTTCCATCATCTCTATGCTCTCGTCCATTTGCCCGTGTTCGCTGTGTTCCAGCCCACTCTCGTCCTCCCTCTCCCTTTGTAGGGCCATTTGTAGGATCTCCTCGTAGGCCAGCACGTCTTCAGGGCAGATTCGCATGCACAAGTCTTTCATATCTTCGTAGACACTACAATCGGGGCGAACAGTTAGCAGACCAATTCTCCTCACAAGTACTGCCATATTAACCTTTCGCGATAGTTGCTGCCCTGTATTAGCGCAGCCGCCGTGATATTGAAGCGTAGTGAGTACAGCAGGTTCCTCGAGTCCCAATCATCCACTACGGGAATCAGCATATCGTTGATCAAACGCAACAAACAAACAGGCACAAAACAGGGATATCCGCGCACTCACCGGGCTCGCTGGCGGGGATCAAGCGTTTGTACCGTTTAATATATGTCCGAGCGCTCAACCGGTGCCGTGGGGTCCTCCAGTTTCCAAATTCGTACTCATTGTGAGCATATAGAGCACTGCCGTCAAACACAAACGGCTCTCCTGTCGCCATATCAGTGGCCGTATTTCCATCCCAGATATTTCCATGTACGAGGCATGGCTTAATATTTCTCCCATCAGTCTCCAGATTCTTCAAAAGATGTGGAATACATTTATCCAAAACCAACTGTGCGTAGTGCTCATACTCTGGCCAACTACCATGGGTTTTCTTATCCAGCTCAAGTGCATGAGTCAATAGCCTCCGGTACATAGTTTCCCAGGAGTTCTCCCAACAATCTGCGCCCAACGTTGCTTTTCCGTGGCAAGTGATTGTATAAAACCCAAACTTGCCAGTTGGAGAGATGGAATCCTTGTGTAGTTTCGCCAGCGCTTTCGCGAAACGAATGGGCTCTGGCGGCTGCATCCCTATGCTGCGAAACTCAGCCAGTAAAAAATACTTGGCGGCGCCAGCAGCGCGATATTTGCCCCAGCAAAATGGCTTCGGGCATAGAGTCGGGCAGATGGCGTGGATGGCCTTGTCAGATTCATATTGCCCTTCAATCATGACACGGTCATTCTCTCCCGTTGTGACCTAGTCACTGTCAGCGTCTACCCAAAGTGAAGATAGATCAAGACAGCAGCAAGGTACTTCCTTGATACCGTGTTATGACGTTCCACCAACCTTGAGAAAATATGTCACGATCTCACCATTGGGTAACTTGCAGATAATTCTTGCCTGGATCGCCCAAACCGGTGTTCCGTAGGCGTGCGACGAGAGAACTATGGTACCATCAACTGGTAAGGCTTGAGAGCAATAGCAACAGCCTCGTGTTAGCATTTCAAGTATTTTGCGAGTCAATGTGTAGTTAGTTAACCACCGAGGAACGAGGAACCAACCACCAAGAACCGCATCATCGAGATGGAAATTCCCACGATAAGCGGGCATGCCACCCTTCCCAATGTCCATATTGCCAGAGCTTTTCTTCGGCGATACCTTGTTTTACCTGTTACGGGAGGAATTCAACAACGACGGAATCCTTAGGCGCGGGGTAGGATGGCATATCCAAGTCTGGCTACATCTGAGATTCTGCAGCCATTCATAACAATGTGTTTTAGAAGCAACATGCTTAATAACTTGAAATAGATTAGAAGATTTCTCTGAAATCGAGAAGAGTATTAGGGAAAAAATATTAGAAAAATAGTAATAGAGCTTTTAATATTTGATATTAATCTATAATTATATATGAAATTGAAAAAAAAAAGAATATAAAAATTGGAAATCAATTTTAAGTACTCTATATTCGGACATTAGCAAATTAAAGATTTATGTATAACTACTGTTTATCTTTCATTTAAGTTATGTTATAGAAAATTAGAAAAGAATGGTAATTAATTATTTTTATTATACAACTTATTAGGTGTTTTGGTTATTCTGTTTCTTCTTCATCACTACGATTTGAGCTTTGCTAGACGGCAAAGGGACCGCCCTTGTAAAGTTATACATGCTTAATAATACTTTTAATAGAACCCACATGTAGCCAGGTCCAAGCGGCAAGACAGTGGATGCCGATGAGCATACGAAACAGGATAATAATCCACGCCGCGGCTTCTGATTCTGGCCTCAGGGAGCAGGTTGCAAATTAGTTTGTTGAGATTGGGGTGGCGTCCGACGTGTAAGAAACCGGCCCGAATGATGGATTTTTAGCACCCCGACGACGCAGAAAGCAAGGGATTCGATTCAACGACTTGATGTCGTTGTGATAATAAACTAAGCTGGAGTCCTCCACGACCGTTTCGGCCAGAGAATCAATCGTCTTCACATCTCCAATCGCCTTCTCTTAGAGAAAACGTTGGCGGCGCCACTCATGGCAGTGAGTCGATGAAGAAACCATTGCATCTCAAGCAAGGCGATGCTGGGAAGAGGTTTTGTTTCTGGGTCATCTGTATGCAGCGTCAAGACAGTACCTGAAACTATTACTTTGTCGGTTATGCAGTCAAAAAGGCATAAATCTGCAAGGTTCCCGTCAAGGCTCGCAGGTAATTCTGGACGGCTAGTAATGGACTGGGCTGGTCGTCTGGGATAATTGCGGAGCCAGAAAAACTGGACTTGCATGCTCTTTTGATCCTCAGCAACATCAAGAGGCTTCAGAGCGAATAGAGCTCGCCCCCAACACGCGTGGACCAGAGGATCAAAGGTGATGAGGTTATAACAAGCTTTAGTGCTTCTCTCTGTAAAAACGGCCGCCTTCCATTGCTTAATACGTTCCTCCGACCAAAATACCTGTAGACTACCCCAGAAGGAGTCGTTACGAGGAAGGGATGACATGGGATAAGGATAGATATGGGCGACTTCGACAATCTCTGGCATGTGCGTGACAACACAACGCGTATTATCCCTCGATTTACACTAACACGGGGATTCAGCATAACCTTTCAATGGTCATAACTTGAAGAGATTCATACCAGATTCTTTTCACGGTCTGAGCGTCTGAGCCTAGGTTCTGAGGTAGATAGGTTTTTAAGACGCTCAATGACACTTGGGATGTGTTCATGAAGTGATGAAGCAATTCGACTTGGTCGGGCAGAACGTCCGGTTGAAGGATTCGGAGTGCGTGCTGGAGAGCTCGTCGTAGACCGAGATCGCTTCCTTTGGTTCCCTAGTATCGATAAGATCAATAAATGAATATGCCCGGAGGATTGAGGGAAAGAGACCACCTACATGATTTCAAGAGCTCTTGAGCCAGATTTTGAATTCGGAGCGAGGCGTTTAACAAGGGAGGATGTTGGGTTTTAAATACCCGAAGGTTTTCGATGTCGCTGAGCCAGAGTGCTGCCCACACCTCTACGGGTACAGTGTAGTCTGACCCGTGTTCAAGCTTGAGAATAGCCTCAATCTCCTCGAGAAGGGATTGACGCATGGGATCTTGGAATTCCGAGTCAGGGCCCGCAGGCGAGAATGGCAATCCCGAATCTGGTTCGGGAAGCTATAAAGAGTTAACTTGGTGCTACCGTTGAGCTGAAGAGCAGAAATTTACCGGAGAAGAAACGCGAGGAGCATCAGCCTACAGCAAAACACGATTAGCTCGCCTGAATCTAGCAGCTAGGAATATATTCAATAACTTACAGCAAGTCGCGCGCGTTTTGCCTGGCGGGACGCAGCCGCAGCGCTGGAGAGCCGTTTACGTGGAGGCATCCTAGTAGAGGACTGGAAGCGTTGACCAGGCCAGCAAAGTAGACAAAAGTCCGTTGGAATATTAACTGACGTTCCCGACCTGGTGGATGTGTGGAGCTGGAGTGACAATGCGGGGGCAAGATAAATGGACGATTGACGCCCCTTTGTTAAATGGATGACGAAACTAGCTAGTTAGCGTTCCCGACCACCCAACGATTTTTACCCCTCATTGCTCAACAATCCATGGATCAAATTCGACCTGCCCTATGAAATCCACCATAGTTCAACAACAACATAAGATATTCAAATAAGAGATTTGTACCGAGTAGATTAAATGAAATATTATATACAAATCTCTATAGATAAACCCAAACCCCACTGGAGGGTCTAATAATGTAGCTGGAGTGAGTTCAAGTTGATAGGAGAATCAGAAGTAATATTGATTGCATTTACAAAATTCAGCGCTTGATATAGTTCTATAATAGTAAGATCTATAACTGAAGACTTCTGGCTCCCCAGAGTCCCAGACCAGTAGTAGCTCTTGCTATTTCTCTATTTGACAGATGAATTTGACCAGCTTTGTCTGTCAGACTTTCTTGCACTTAGAAGATTTTTTGTTCTTAGCAGTCTGTTTCTCAGCGTTTCTAGCTTTCTGTTCTACTCTTTGAGCTTCTCTTTAGACAATCCTAACAGCTTTTCGGTTACTTTTAGATGTTAAGCTTTTGTGATATGAGAATGACAGGTGGATGTGAGAAGTTGGATTTAATAAAAGGTTTCTAAGAAACCTGTCGGAACTGACCTATGAGCGGGTGCTACATCATAGCAGCCAGGATGCGGATGCGGATGCGGAATGCCGAGCGTTGGTTCCTTCAATCCGGCTCGAGTGAGAATAACGGGTGAGGACAGCAAGCAAGACTGATGGAAGGGGGTTGATTTCGAAACCCCGAACACCAGTCGCTACGAAGAAACTATCTAGAGATCCCATGCCAACGAAAATAACAGCGAGCGCTGGAGGGCCGTCCCCATCCGCAAGGTGCCCGGGGACGAGATTCCTCGCATCCCGGTGAACTTTCCGCACGATCTCTATGCAAGCGTTGGAAAACGTGTCACCCCGCGACTTGGTCCCACTGCGTGATCAATGGCGCACGCAACCATCCTTCGTAAACCGATCTCCTGCTACCCTCTGTTGGGCAGAGGGCGTGTGGAAAGAGGCTCAATTGAAACCTGAATTCCTGGGTTTATCGTCGTGGTCGAATGTCGAGCCAACAGCCGCTGCAAGTCGGGTTTTGATGATTGCATAAAATGCACACGGACTGCTCGAAGCAGCGATTGCGGGGGGATCTTTCACCGATAAAAGCCTCTTGACCTTTTTGCTTTATTCCCTTTCGCTTTTGTGCTCGATATCGGTGCTGGACACACACTTATCGCTACGAGCACCCTTTGGCGCCTAATTGATAGAATACCGCTTTGCAGCATAACTTATCAGCCACATCCGCGAGTATGTGCAACCTAGCATTTTTCAAGCTGTTGGAGTAAATGATAAACACTAACCTTCCTGCATTTTAAGTGTCTCAAGAATCTTTCTATTCGATAAATGCTTGGGCCCGAAACCGGCCCGGAGACCTTTTTGACCGCCTTTCCTCCTATTCCTGTAGCAGCACAGCTCTCGAGCCATCTGCAGGCAAAAATACGCCCTATATTTATGCAAGCAGCTCGAAACAAGCTTCACTGATGGTCCAGCGAGGCGACGGCGCGGATAGCAATGCCTCAGCTTACAATATGTCCGTTCCGCGTACGGTCCCTTCCTTGGCAGAATTGTCTGCCTCAACACGCTTCTCGGGCTCGATAAACACGGATCTCGCCAGCGAAATCGATCTCCGTCACATCCTCCATACGGACGACAACGACAATCTTGTTGCTCCAACAATGGGAAGCCCCTATACCTGCTATTGCATGTTCCGTCTTCTCGGTTGCAAAAAGATGTTTGATAACGCGGAGGAATGGAAGACCCACGTCACAAGCCACTTCAAACTGCAGCCCGTGCCGTTGAGCGTGGCCTGTCAGATTTGCAAGGAACCGTTCCATAGCGCCGAAAACGGGGAGGCATGGTGTCGAATGCTGGAACATATTACTACTCAGCATTTCCAGCAAGGGCACACGCTGATGGGAACACGCCCTAGCTATGAGCTTATGCACTATTTGTACTGCAAAGGCATTGTATCGCAGGAGCAACTGAGGCTCTTGCAACATGCAGACCCGGATCCAGAACCGTATGGCTCCGGCCGCCAATCAGGTGTTGGTTCGCCCACTGAGCCTTATTTCGTCAGCGTCAACAGTCGACGCGAGCGTCGAATGAGAACAAGAAAGATCTGAAATTGGAAAAGGATCTGGTTTGCGTTCCAAAATCGAGTTAATAGTTTCCTTCAGCAGAGGCATTGGGCGCTTGTTGCATTATATCCTGATGCTCGAGAGGTTAGATGAACCGGGCATCGAGAAAGACGAGCTCACATGGGGGCATTTCTATTTAATATGGTTGCAAGTTGGGGAGTCGGGACAAGGCCCCTTGCTGCCCTCGATAAACCACTCGGTTCGCGCTTCTTTTCCTACACTATTATTAGCATAACGATTCAAATCACTGTTTACAAAGGCCTCTAATCTAAACGGGGTGGATTTTCCAAAATGGGAATATATCGGAGAGGATACCTAGATACTTTCAGCCGCCCACCAGTGTGTACCTCGGGCTTGATTATTAGTTGCAACTTTGGCATCCTGACCTTTTGATAAATGAAAAGCTCTGAAGTATGTCTTCAGTGATCTGTGGGCTGAATGGCCTTCGAATGCTGCCTGCTGGTGCCTAACCAGACAAAAGGGGCGGCTCCAAGAGCAAACAAGGCAAACATCCCACCAACACTTGAACCCATAGCTTGAAAGCAGAAGATCAAAGCCACCAAGTGCGATCGTTTTTCCTGTGAAGCAGAGACAAACTCCCAGCTGAATTCCTTTTTTAATCCTTGGGGGACGGTGCACCATGACCACGAGAAGGCGACAATTCAAATCGTGAGCCCTTTCTTGACACCGCCTTCGTCCGCGAACCTGCCCATCTCGATCCAAGCCCCAGTCACCCGCTCACAATGGAGCACCGTGTTCTCCAAGACCCGAACCCAGATCACGGGCGACCCGGCGGTGGCCCTTCCCCCGGGCCTACGCATGCGCAAGAACATCAGCAAATGCTATCGGGCGGCGCTCCGCCGCAGCAACCGGGCGTACTGCCACTCCAAGGGCCGCCCCAATTACCTCCACAGCTATTTACAACTGCTGCGCAACTCTTAGATTTAACTGACAGTGAGATCCATCATGTTCCTTTTCAGCTTGACGGCTATAGGTGGTCTGAGGCGCCGTCACAGCGCAGCTATCATCGGCTTGGAAAACTCTTGCAGTGGATATTGTGCTAATGAAATTTCCCGCGCCGTTGTAGAGAAACTTGTCCTAATCCTTCGTGACGGCCGCAAATTTATTGGTGTGCTCCGGAGCTGGGATCAATTCGGTACGAAATCTACAGGAATTCCGGTTGCGTTGCCGTCTTTTATAATTAATCTTCTCTTTCGGGGATCCAGCAAACTTGGTCCTTCAGAATACGGTTGAGCGAATATACGCCGGTAATCTCTATGGAGAAGAGCCGCGCGGTGTGTACCTAGTTCGTGGGGAAAATGTTCTTCTCCTTGGAGAAATCGTACGTCATCTTCGTTGATACGCGGCTGCATCCATATTCGCCTCGTGATGTGGTCCTTTCTGACCGCTTTGGAATTTATTGCAGGATCTCGATAAAGAAGACGATATTCCCGAACCTTATCGCCAGGCGCCATATAATGAAGTAGCCGCGCTGAAGGAAAAGGAGGACTCTGAGCGAAAGCAATCAGATAAACGCCGTGATAGAAAACTCCAGGGCCTAGGATTTGAAGCTGAACACAGCGGCGAAGTCTTATTCTGATTCTCAGAATAAGCAACTTGCCAAGCCGTTCGATATCCGGTTTTGTGCTATGTGGTAAGTCTGAGGGGTTACGGTCGAGTCCCGAAACTATTGACACCATCAATACTACCCCAGGCGAGGGCTAGCTGGTGTCGGAACGTTCTTGCAGCAACCACGAGGCGGGCGGGCAAGACACACCCGCATTTCGTCTTTATTCGTTGTCTTTCAGAGACAGCTCTGTTTACGTCAATGCGGTTGCATGCGCTAGGCGTCGGTGAACCTTTATAAATGCATTACGTTGAATAAAGAGGCACTACGAATATCATTGATTCAAAGTCGTATCGCATCCCGTGCTTCTGGCTCAACCAAAAAAAGTCTGTGAGGGTTTGCATATAGAGCTTCGAAGCTAAAGGAGTTCGCGAAGCCTCGTGTGATCTTTGTTTTATTCCAATTTTTCCATGTTGCGCCACTGATGCGGTGGCATCTGAGATATTTAGGTATTACCTAGTTAATTTCAACAGACTTGGAGAAGTTATATCCTCCGCCGTTAATAACAGTGCATCCATCCGTTGTCACCAAGTTCTTTATCCTCAATCGATATTTCAAACATACGCCGTTGGTAAGTCTGATCACATCGTGTTACAGGCACCTAGTTAAACCACCAGAGATCGAACTCATAGTTGGATATGGTGACGCAGCTGAGAATTCCAGCCTGTGGTCCAGTTGGACAATCAGCATATGTACCCCGTTAAGAATGAAATAAAATAACTGTCTTCCATTATCGTCTGTAGCTCAGTGATATCAACTAACTAGTTATACTGTCGACCGCTGTCCGCCCCACAAAACCTCGCTATCGATAACCGCAAACCCAAAAAAATTGTTCCCATCAACCCCAAAGCTAACAAACATATATCACTTTCCACCAGCGACTTATCGGCAGTTCTACGACGCCGAACAGTCTTGCAGAAGTGGTATCTTCCTCGTTGAAACTCGCCTGCACCATGGCGACCTTGCAGGAGAAGCTCGACAAGATAAAATCCCCAAAGCTGCAGAACCAGCACTCGGTTCGTACCAGACAACACCAAGATATAGCTTCCTTTCTGCCCAATCCGTAGACGGAGAGAAGGCTAACTGAAAGACCAGACAGCTATAGTTTTTTCCGCCGTCGAGGAGACCTTCCGCGAACAAAAGGCCGATCCCACCGCGACCGCATACTTCGCTGCCCTCCTAGGCTTACTTGGCCAGACCATCAGTGCCACACAGGGCACCGTAGATAAGGAACCGGTCACCTCAATCGTCTATCTTCTCGACATCGTATCGCCTTATGTTCCTCCACCTTTACTCCGTGCAAAGTTCTCGCAAATTCTGGCCGGTCTTGTGCCCGCCCTCACATCACCCGATGCCGAAGCGCCCCTACTGAAATCTTCCATTGGATGTCTACAATCTCTGCTCGTGGCCCAGGATACAGCGGCATGGGCTCTTCCTCAGTCCCAAATCGGTCCGCGACGAGCGATGGCGGGCTTGCTAGCTTTGGCTGTCGACCACAGACCGAAAGTTCGCAAGCGAGCGCAGGACGGCCTGGCTCAGGTTTTAAAACATCCTCCTCCGAGCCCGTCGTTGGATCATCCAGCTGCAGATATGTGTGCAGAAACTGCTTTAGTTACGCTAAGAGAGAGCGTGGCGGCGGCTGGAAAGCACAAAAAAGGGAAACATGCGCATCTTCAGCAAAACCACCAACATGAGCCGGCGGTCATCCATGCCCTGAATTTGGTAAAAACGATCGCGACGGCATCAGGAGGATGGCCCAGCAAAAAGATCGAGGCCTTGTGCGAGTTATTAATGAATGTTTCAAGGTCAACGAACGAATTTCTCACGATGGGTGCGTTTGAGGTCTTCGAGGTGATTTTCGAGGGTATGGCGGATGAGTTTTCTTCATCGAAATTACCCCGTCTTCTGGAAGCTATTCGAGAGTTGAAGCCTTCTCACAACGATTCCCAGCTTCTTCCACCATGGATTGCAGTACTTTCGAGAGGCTACGATGTTTCTGCTCAGGTACATCCTGAAAACACCTTCGAAAAATTACCGGAATTGTTCGATCTTGTGGCCTCCTTCCTTACATCCCCTTCACATAATATCAGAATATCAGCATCAGAGTGCCTCATTTCATTCCTTGTTAATTGCATCCCGGCCAACGTCATTGTCGAGCCATCGATATACGACGAAAAGACAATGGAGAAGCTTGCTAAAATAGCGACGGGTCTCCTTTCTGTCAAATACCAAACAGCTTGGGCGGAAGTATTCAACGTGCTAATAGCTATGTTCGAAGCTTTAAGATGGAGGTCCGATCCTATCCTGGTGGAGATTGTACGAACCGTTGGCGGAATTCGATCAAACGAATCTTTCCACGGCAAGAAGGAAGCAGATAAAGTCCTTGGTGCCGCAATTGGTGCTATGGGCCCTGAAGCTGTGCTTAAAATCTTGCCGCTGAACATAACGCAACAGAAGGCCGGCGAACCGGGCCGTGTCTGGCTTCTACCCATACTCCGAGATTATGTCTCTAATACCCGTCTAGGCTATTTCCGTTCTGAATTCGTTCCGCTGAGTGAGGCCTTGTTCCAACGGGTGCTCGAATATGGCAATGCGGAGAAGACCGTGGAAGTAAAGATCTTTGAAACCCTTGTTCAACAAACATGGGCAACTTTACCTGGTTTCTGCGAATTACCGGTGGACGTTGTCGAGGCTTTTGATCAAACATTCGCAGAACTCCTATCGAATGTGTTATACAAGCAAACCGAGCTGCGTGTGGATGTGTGCAAAGGCCTCCAAAACCTGGTCGACTCTAACAAGGAGATTGCCACTCTGGAAGCAGAAGAAGATGACCTTCTCCTACAAAGACGGATTACGAGAGAGGCGGCCAAGAAGAACATTGCGCATCTAGCTACCTTCTCGAGTAATCTTCTTGCTGTTTTGTTCAATGTTTATAGCCAAACATTGCCTCAGTTCAGAGGGTATATTCTCCAATGCATCAATGCGTTTTTGAGCATTACTCCAGAGCAAGTATGTTCTGATCGTCTTTCTCAAGTTCCTGTTCATTGCTAACCTGTCGTTTAGGAGTTAATCGAAACTTTTACCCGAGTTACAACGATGCTTGAGGCCGCCCTCAAAGAAAACACTCAGGAGCAAGCTAAACAAAAAAGCACCGGCGACAAGATGCCTTCAACATCGCACACATTGATGGATCTCGTTGTTACTATGTCTATATATCTCCCGCGAGCAAGCTTCACAACGCTTTTCTCTCTCGCGGCTGTTGTGTTCAACACGGAAGCATCAGACCCTCAGTTGATTAAGAAAGCATACAAACTCATACCCCGTCTTGCAACAACCGAGATTGGAGGACTGGCGCTTAAAGAGCGCAGTTCAGAGTTGCAAACCCTCTTCATCTCGACTGCCGACAAAACCCCGTCTCCAGCTCGACGAGATCGACTTCTGGCTTTTCAAGAAATTATCACTCACCTCCCCACTTCCGACCTTCACTTCATTCCGTCTATCCTCTCCGAGGTTGTCCTTGGATGCAAGGAGAGCAATGAGAAAGCCCGACTAGCAGCCTTTACGCTCCTAGTACACCTTGCCAATCGTGTGAGTGACGCGGAACGTAATCCTCCTGGTACTCTGATTCGCAACTCTCTCGTTCCTCATATGGCGGACGATGCCCCAGATGCTCCGGCCACCATTGAGGAGTTCTTCACTATGGTTTCAGCGGGTCTAGCGGGCACCTCACCGCATATGGTCGCTGCGTCTATCATCGCGCTATCGCGTCTCCTCTTCGAATTCCATACCAAATTGACGCCAACTATACTGTCAGACCTTGTTCAAACAATTGACCTATTCTTAACAAGTAATAACCGCGAGATCGTTCGGGCAGTACTTGGCTTCGTGAAGGTGGCAGTTGTCGTTACCCCCGATGACCTCCTCAGGCCGCGTCTCGACTCTCTCGTGCCGAATCTTATGGTTTGGAGCAAAGAGCATAAGGGTCGACTCCGAAGTAAAGTCAAAGGTATTCTTGACCGATTAATGCGACGATTCGGTTCGCAGGTCGTCGAAAGCCTAACTCCCGAATCAGACCGCAAGCTCGTAGTCGCGATCCGCAAACAGCGCGAGAGAAGTAGGCGGAAGAAGGAACAAAGCAAAGAAGCCGCCGAAGACGAGTCGGATCAAGAAGAAGGCCAAACCCAGGCCCGCAAGACGGGCAATTCATTTAGCAATGAATTCGACAAAGCCGTCTACGGCTCCGACCTATCGGACTCAGATCTAGGTTCAGACTCCGACGACGCAAGCGAAATCGAAATTGACGGCGAAGGGAATATGCACAAACACAGCACCCGATCCAAGGATACCAAATCTCAACCGACATCAAGGCGACAAAGGGGTAAATCCCACCAAGCATCCGACCGAGGCGACGGCGCGCAATACATCCGCGAACTCTCACCCGAATCCAATCCTCTCGATCTCCTCGCTCCCAACGCCCTGGCGAATATCTCTAGCACCAAACCATCCGTACGCTTCCTTGACTCCGCGCGGGCGAAAAAGCGCTCTGCACGGGTCGATGCGGAAGGTAGATTACTCCTTGGCGACGTCCCCGACCAAGACGGAGATACGCGCATGGGCGGCGCGGAGGGCGGAGAAAACATCGGCGATGCGATCAACGCGTATATCGCGGCGGTCAGCGGACCTGATGCCGTGCGCAAGGGCCAAAAGGGTCGGTTGAAGGTCAGCCAGAGCGGCGTTGGGAAGAAATCGGGAGATGGGATGGACGTTGATTCTGACGGTGAAGGGAAGGGTGATGGCAAGGTGGTTTCGGTAGGCGGAGCGGGGAAGAATAGTGGACGGCGGGGACTTGGGGTTCCGAAGCGGAGTGGGAGTGGAGGGGGTGGGGCGGGAAGGGTTGAGAAGCGGCGGAATGTTAAGGAGGGGAGGAGCGGAAGCGGGTTTAGGAGGAAGAGCGGAGGCCGGAAGTAAAAAAGTGTGTTTATAGTGGAATCTTGTTGTTTAAGGAAATGGATCACAATCTGAATTAATTGACTCTGTCTGGATCTACATTTGTGGCTCTTGTTGCTTAAACTCCTACCAACAGTTTGCCTTCCAATCAACAAGAAACTCATCAGTCACGCACCCGAATGCGATTACTGGTTATTACACAGCTCAGGCAATGTTAATATTATCTCTGTACTACCTCTCCAAAAAAAGATATATGATATATCACTTCCAAAGAAGGGCGCTCAGATCCTTCCATACACTAAGTATACTCGAAAAAAAAAAAAAAAAAACAGCCTCCTAAAGTACAAAATTTCTCAGACAACGCTCCCATTCCGGGTTGGGCTCCCAGCCACGCTCCTCTCCCTTTTTTTCCTCCTCTTTGCCCGATTCAGCCAAATCTTCCACCAATTCCGAACCCCCAGCACCGCAGCCCTACCGTCGTCCCGTCGTTCCGTACCATCTGGGTTTCCCATGATCATGGTAAAAATCCAGAAGAACGCGGACACCCAGGCGGCGAAAAGGATGGGGATGATGACTAATGGCGAGAGGAGGTGGACGCAAATGAGGCCGGGAATGGAATAGTTGCTGGCGCAAGGGGAGGGGGTTGGGTGTTGGTCATGTTGGAAGGTGTCATAGTGAGGGCTTTCGGAGGAGCGAGGTCTGGAGCGAGAGTGGGGAGGTGGTTGCGGCTCAGATTGGCGGTATGGATGGCGATCTCGACGTCTTTGAGAACGTGTAGGGGTTGATATAAGACGCTGATGGATTGAATGGAGAGGGGCAATTGTTTGGCAGATTTGGGTGGAGAAGGTATGTGGTGACTTGAAGAAGGTTGTGGGCGGGCATAGTCGTAGCGGAGTAGCAAAGAGAAGAAATAAGACAACAAAGAAGGCGTAAAGGGCGGCGAAGATGGCAAACGGTGGGACGACGAATGAAATACGTAGCTGTGCCAGAATATCGGATTAGTATATTGCTGTAGTCCGTAGAAAGTGTGGTCGCACAGAGGCTCAATTCAAGAGCAATTTCACCGCAGAGCTTTGCCGGCTGCGGTAAAAGACGTTTGATCCCGCCTGAAACCACCACCCTCCCGCCAGGCCACAGCGTCCAGACGCCAAACAAAAATCGAAAACGACAAAAAGGGTATCAACTCACAAGAATATAAAAAGCATTCTCATGATCCGAGGCACCAGCGGCCTCGTCGTAATCGTCATCATCGTCCTCATCATACTCATCATCGCCGTCCGTATCCACCACTGAGACATGCGTCCTCGGCTGCGGCGAGACAGGCTCCATCGCTAATCGCCCCAGGGCCATATCATTCTTTGCCTGCGCCCACTCCCTTGGCTCATTCCAGCTGAGCGCTCTAGTATGATCCGACATCGACGCGGGCTGTGACCTGGTTGCGAGTATGATCGCGGCTGCCGGGAAAGTAGGTTGTGCGGGTTGAACGCTCTGGGCTTTTATCATTTTGGCATTGAGGGACGATGCCATTGTAGAACTGGACAGCGACGCAGGTCCGTTCGACCAGCGCCGTGACGACTGCGAGTTCTCCCCGGAGCTCTGGGCATCGCTGGAGAGGGAGCGAGGCGGATGCGATTCCGCACGGGGAGAATGTGGGTGCGACGGGTAGGATGTCAAGTACTCGTCCGGATTGGAGGAAGGGGGAGCATGGAAGGATTTCTGGTCGAGAGTCGGATAGACGATTTGCTGGTCATCGTGATAGTGTGCGATGTGCGTCATGGCCTGCAGGGACATGGCGATACGGGGTCGAATCGGAAGCGCCGGCAAGGCGATGTATGGGAGGCAAGGGATAACAACAGGATGAAGCGGATTTCAAGTGGGCAGATAAAAGATGGTCGTCTCGCGCTGCCTGACGGACAGAGCTTCAGGACGATACATCGAGCAATTCCGAAGCGACACGCGCATCCATGCAGGTCTATATCACCACGCCAGCGGTTGGGACGAGGAGACAGGGACGGGGGGAGGAAGCAAAAAAGAGTTCAGAAAGAAGAGCAAGACATGGCTTTTTAAGAGGGAAATGGCAGAAGCGAAAAGAAAAACGCCCAGCGCCCGAGCGGGAATGCCCAGCGGAACCAAGAGACAAGCCCACAATGCCAACAAGACTGCGTCAGAGGCATCCTCCGCACACGAGAAATTCGGGGCTAATAGTCCACGCCAGAGGGCACATGTTCACGGGACGAAGCAAGCGAGCGAAAAATATGGGAGCAGCGCCGCGGGCGGAGTGGCAGTCCTCCTCACTCTGCCAAGACGCACAGGTGCCGAGACGCCGAGCCCTTGGCAGGCAGCCCTTGGGTTCTTGGATGGGAGGCATCGTCGCCCGTCTTCGCGCTGGAGGGCGGTTTCAGAGCGGGAAGAGGGCAGCGTGGCCGAGTGGGAGCAGTCTCCCGGGGGCCCGCGAACAAGCAAGCAACGAGACCCGTCATGCGTGGTGTCTCCCTTTTGAATATGCGGATGTTTTGCTTCTCTCTCTCTCTCTCGCGCTGGTTCTCTGCAAAAGACGGCCGGCCTGCTGACTCAGCCGTAATCAGGTTGAAATTACGCGACTTTCCGCCAAGTGGCTTGTCCATTCTTGGAAGTTTGACTCTCTCTGGCCGCCCGCTGATTGGCTCCCGCGGCTTTCCGTCGTAGCCGCAATTGGAAGATCTCGGAATGCCAAGCCCCGCGTCCACCGAACTTGCGGAGATCACTGCGGCTCCGGCAAATCACATTGCGCCATTCCCCAGGACTTCAGACGCCGCCGGGCACGCTCGTTACCGTACCATACGCCCCGGCTGCCTCCCAAGCAGTCCCGTCTTCGCTGCTACGATACCAGCCCTTTACGCGCCCTTGAGGCAAATTGATGTGCCTCTTCCCCCCTCAAAAGGTATTGGCCCAAGGAACCCCCAAGACCAGCCAGAACACAGACCCTGCACATTTCCAAGCTTGGGACCGCAGGCAGAAGCTCAGAAAAGTGACAGCATCATCTCCCGTCCTCCGGTCACTGGGCTCAATACTCTTACGTACTCTGTACTCCGTGCGGATCAACCATGGAATTCAAAAACAAACAAGCAACAATGAAACCAAAAAAAAGGTACTCCGTAACTCCCGCATGACAAGAGGCCACAAACGTATGCACTGTGCAAAAACGCCCATGGGCGACATGTTGTGAGACCTCTTGCCATGGGGCTACACATGTCCAGACTGTCCCGGTACGTAATGGCATCCTCGAAATTCATCTTGTGCCCTGCGTCAATATTCGACCACCACCACAAAAACTATCCGCCGGTTGCCCTCGTCATCGCGCGCAAGCTTGAGCCACAGCAGGATTCTGGCGGGGGGTTGAGCCACATCCACAACCCTCCCCGATTCGCAGAGAAGGTACTCCGTACCCAAACAATGAAAAGCAATACAAAGGTTGGCTAACGGTGATCATTCCACGACATTGTCGTCGAATTTCTTGTCACAAGCCATCGACACAAATGCGGCGCGCCAACAACGGAATCTTGTGGTACCATGTCAACTATGCCGTGGAGCCACCCGGGCGGCGGATTGAAAAGGACGTACTCTGTAGAAACTGATAAAAAGAGGTTTTACATAACTATCCTAACTAACAATAGAAGCATTATAATCAAGGAAACGATCAAGCTACAGGTTCGTCTGTTTTAAATAGTACAACGCATACATCACAATTTCGGGCCTTGGAACCGTTGAAACGATCAAAACGAAAATTGAAGATCACAAATTAGACACCCAAAAAACTTTCTCTAGCTAGAAGACTCCGGCTTTGACTGACCAGACTGGCTAGCTCCGTTCGCCATCCCAACATTAGCATTAGTGCCGCCAGGGCTACCTTTCGGTGGTGCTGCGGCTTTCTTGTCATCGTCTCCATCGTCGTCGTAGTCCTCATCGACTTCCACCTTCCGCGCCGGAGGCTCATGGGCCTGATCCTTGCGGTCCCGTTCTTCGTTAGAAGCGACAGAGCCAGACGGTAGTCCGGCAGAAGGGATGCTGGGGATGGGAGCATTTTGGACACTAGCAGGAGTATCCGGGACAGAGGGTATCTTTGGGGGTTGAGGCTGCATGTGTTGAATCGATGGCAAACTTGGGGGATGGTGCGCGGCATCAGACGGATGATAGTTGTCATGCGCACGTCTTTGTTCTTCGCGGCGAGTCTCCGAGGAGCTCCGGCGACGCAGTTCGCGAGGAGATGAGATTCGGCCAGGCTGTTCGTCCAAGCGCGCGCGGTTTTCGTCGCTAGCAATCTTCTTGGCTGGGCCCTGGTCCACTTCCCAATCACGTCCACGTTTCATCGAAGACGGAGGACGCTCGTCTCGCTCTCGTTGAGCCGCTTCGGCTGCCGCGATAGCAGCTGCTGGCGCAGGAGCACCGCCCGCGATTCCTCCACCATTCTGAGCAGGTGCTGGCGCCTGGTGGTATTGCGGGTGGGGATACGTGGACCTGGGTGATGTAGGTCTATCATCCCGAATTGGACGGATTTCAGTTGGAGGGGTAAAAGGTCTACCATAAGGGGCCATTTGGCCAGGTGGAGCAGCACCATTGGGCCCAACCGGTCCATTAGGCCCGTTCTGAGCCAATGGAGGAGGCCGAACGGAAGAACCAAAAGCAGCACCATTTGGAGCCCGTTCATTTCCTTGTGGGGGAGGCCCAAGTTGTGGAAGAGTCTGCGGCCCCGGATAAGCATTTGGTGCCGCGAGGTTGAACTTGGGGGATGGCGAATGTCCCTTGCGGCCAACATTATTGCGTGACTGGTCAGGGAATTGCCGTATTTGGTCTGTTCTAGGGCTGGGCTGCTGAGGCTGGATACCTCGTAGGCTCTCGCGCTGATCGTACTGGCCGGAGGGGCCTTGCTGTCCTTGAACCTCATTGACTCCTCGAGCCCATTCCGTGACACGCCCGGATGGGCCGTTGGGCGGAGCCGGGGGGGCACCAGAGGGAGCTTGTGCCCCCCACTGAGGACCAGGAGGTCCAGCGACGTTCGCGGATTGGTAGGCTTGCGGGTGGACATCCTGGGGGACCGGTGCGCTCGCTTGATTGGTAGACTGCCCACTTTGAAGCAACTGCAATCTAGCTTTAATATGGACGTTGGTCGGATCAAGCTCCGCAGCTCGTCCATATGCATCAAGAGCATCCGCGATTTGGTTGTTGCACGATTCATACTAGAGAAATTAGCGGGCATGAATTTTCGAGGCCATGATGCAAAACAAGCGCTTACCAAAGTTCCCAAATCATACCAGACTTCAGATATGTATGGATTTAAGCGAATGGCCCGTGAATAAGCATCAAGAGCATCACGATATTGGTTAATTTGGTAATAAAGAACACCAATTGAGCACCAGAATGTCGGGTTTCGCCCATCTCGATACACAGCCTGTTGATATGCCTCGTATGCTTTTGGGTATTTAGCTTGAGACATGTAGCAACGTCCAAGGAGATACCAGCTTTGCGCATCATTTGTGTCTGAAGAAACGGGAAATGACTCAGCATTTACTTTTAATAGAACATCCGCAGGATTAAAAAGAGCACATACCTGCGGCAACGGACTTTTCCAAGTACTCAATAGCTTGTTCTTGACTAGTATAGCTGTTGCTCTGCTGGTGATGCAACCAACCAAGCTGCTGCAATACTTTTGCGTGCTGCGGGTCGCGTTCAAGCACCCTGTTGTATGCTGTTTTGGCATTCTCAAACTATCATACTTGATTAGCCAACACAATCGAGTGAATGACTACAGAGTTAACTCACATCCTTTTGCTGTTCATGGACATGTCCAATCTGGAACCAAATATCTTCTTCCGTTAAAGGGCGTGGAGGGTCCTTGACGATGTATCGGAAGCACTATTTACAGTTAGATTATAGCAGTGACGAGAAAGGTGTGTGTCATGTACCTCTAAACTCTGATGGAATTTTTGTTGTTGTTTGTAAATTATGCCAAGTCGGAAATATATTTCATTTGCCTTTTCAAAATCTGGCTGCATTCGCATAACTTGGGAGAATGCCTCTTCGGCATGATCTAACGAGCCATAACGATCATATAATATACCAATGCCGTACCATAGTTTTGGTTCCTGTAGAAGTGGGTCAGTTGACGTTTTACCAGGGGATAAAAAGCGAACTGACCTTGGGGTCGCGGAGGTGGTAAAGAGCATTTTGGTATGCGCTATATGCATCCTGAAGATTGTCGATCATAAGGTAACAGTGTCCTATTCAAAGTCAGATCGGTCAATGACGTCTCCGTGAAGCAATATCGCGGGGGGGGGCCCAACACTTACCCAAACTGCTCCAAGATTCTCCACTCTGAGGATCTATCTTCAGAATATTCTGTAGGAATTCAATAGCTTTTGGGAACTCTTCCTTTGTTCGGTAAATGCATGAGATAGCGCTCATGGCGGGGACAGAGTATTGGTTATGGCGCAAAGCATGTTGATATGCGTCAATAGCCCCTTCAAGGTTTCCCATCATTTCGCACAGATTGCCTACGCAGGTTCAGGTCAGGCAGGTTCTGATGCAGATAAAGTCGGAGGGGGAACTAACCAAGCTGGAGCCAAATTGCTTCGTTTACCTGTAGAATCTTTTGCCATGTGGTTAAAGGCGGACCACTTTGGCCTTGGGTTTGGATAGGCATATGGCCATTAACTTGAGGATGAGGGGGTAGAGCCGCCTGGTGAGGATGAACCCCACCCGTTGGCGAGCGCTGAGGATGGGTGGACATGATGCCCTGCGGTTGCGGTGCAACGCGAAGCGAGTATGAAGCGTTTCAGCGAAATGCCAGCAATAAAAAAAAAAAAGATAAAATAAGCAAGAAAGCGAGCAACAAGCTGAGAAACAAAGCAAAATAACGCTTATTCAAGATACGACAGTGAAGGTGCTTTAAGGCCCCTGACCATACCAGCGATCCTCCAATCTCACCCGGCCAGGGCAGAGCTCGAAAAGGAGGTCGCAAACCCGTGTATCGGAAGACGTTGGCAGCCCGAGAGCCCAAGCCAATGGGAATAGTTGTTGGTATGATGGCCGTGAGCGGATTGTAACCAACAAACGACTGCACAAGTGAAGGCTTTTCGGGTCTTCGGGCCAAGCACAACGAGGGCGAAGTGACGTATCGTTGGAGGCGTGAGGGAGTGTAAATGGGACGAGAGGGAGGTGTGATGGTGGGCAGGACAGAGGATGCAACCAAGAGTAGGAAACAACACAAGAAATCAGTGACAAAGCGAGACCAAGATCAAGAGGAGTGTTCAGAGAGGGGGGAGAGTGAGAGAGAGTGTGTGTGTGAGAGAGAGAGAGAGAGAGAAGAAGGAGAAGAGGTGGGAGAAGCGTGCGAAGGAGGATTTGGCGCTAGTGGGAAGGGAGTTGGTGGAAGAAATCAGCAAAAATGCCGAGAAAGGGAAAGAACAAGTGCAACGAGTTTGGGGTGACCTTGGGATATTAGGGCTAAGCTAGGTTGGCGAGGGCATCTGCGGACGGGGACCCACTTGGCGCATGATTGCATTGCCGTGACACCCTCTCGCCCATGATTGCTTCTTCTGCTGGCGCTTTGCCGCATCCAGCCACTCGGACCGGGGCCCCTGCGATGATTAATACAAATGACTTGCATTGTGACATCTGCTTATCTAAGTCACCCCTTTCGGTCGCACAGCATCCCGATTGATGTATTTTTGGGCAGGTCCCGAGGACAAGTCCACCCTTCGGAGCTCTGCTCTCCCCTGCAGCACGGCGTCTCCAGCTGTGCCGCCTGCTGTGGCCTCTCTGGTCGGTTTTGCTTTGCAACCGTGGACGCGGGCGGACCCCGTTCCGAGTAGTGCCCCAACCTACGAAGCTACTGGCTGGGGGTGATTCCCCCCGTCCAGCGTAACTCTGGAGGCTTTCGTGTCTTGTGTGAGGAGTACGGAGTACCTGGCGTGTCGAGATGAACGATGAACCTCCCAGAAGATTTTCATGCAACCAACATGGGTGCCTCCCATCCACCCGTTGCTGATGCACGCTGTCAATCCGCTGCGGGCCACCGGGGGTGAACCCTGCAGGATTTGGCACTCACAAGCGCAACCATCCCAGCCGCCTAGGCCCAGTCCGGCTAGACGCACCTAAACTTCCATGAAACAAGCCATCGTCCACCCTTTCTCCGCAGGGGAGCCCACCCAACCCTTTCCCTGATCCAGGGCTTGGTCCAGTCTGTGCTCTGGGCCCCAATCACCGTGCCGGCTCCCCCCCCAAGAACGAGCACCTGTGGGGCCTCCTGTTTCTGAATCGCCTGCAGCTGGCCACCCCCCCAGCACCCAGGGCTCCCGACATCATCGCTCGACACACCGTTTCGCGTGTCCGCCGTATTGCGTTTAGCGTGAGGTGCGCTGATTTGGCTGGAGTCGGCTGTGGCTGGAGGTGAGATGATCCCTGGACTGAAAAACACATCAGAGATTTCCCACCCCCCAGGCAGCCAGGCTCCAAAGCTGATTCACGGCGCCAATTGTGACGGCTCCGCAACCGATCCCGTATTTTTACTTTGTGTCTGGAATCATCATCATCATCACACGGCGGCTGAAGGACGGTGAGATGTATCTGTGGAGCCATATTTGGTTTTTCCTCCCAGCGGAGATACGGATCAACGGAAACGCCAGGTCACCACCAACTCCATCCACGAACCGAAACGCGTCTCTCAAATATATTTAACTAATTATATATATTGCTTCTTTCCACAAAGACTCCGACTCCCAAAGCCAAGGTTTCTATAGTATCATGGGGCATTCCTTATTGTTACTCACGCTTAAAGCTCAGGGAAAAACTCAATGTCTAGGGCCCCCAGTCCGTTTTAAATGATGCCTCGCTCCACTTGGTTCACAATAATATTTGCTTGGTATCAGGTTGTTTGGCGACCTGGGCCACAAAAGCATGTCACCGGCAACACACTCCTGCTTGTTGGTAAGGAATTCAATCCTGAGCGTGCGCGTTGCGATGTCAAGTCAGTCCGGATCGGGTCGTGCGCAACTGGATGTTCAACATGAAAATGAGGGTCACGCTTGCAGCTCTCTTGCATCGTCAGTGTCGAATGAGCTTCGACGAGCCAGCGCAGCACTCTTTGTCGTCCGATGTGCTTTGGACACCACCACACCAAAAGAAAAAGAGGCTTTTTTAACCTTGACCGATCCGTAATCTGCCCCTCCTCAAGAGTTTTCCGTCTTGTCGACTCTCAGGCGAAAAAACCCGGAGAGCAGCCCGACCTGCTCCGCAAAGCTAACCCACCTGAAGAAAAGTTCGGTGATGCTGTGTTTGTTGATCGAAGTTCTTCGCATTCCTTCCAGAACACCAGTTTTTTTCTTTAATCTCCAGTAATTTAATCTAGGAAGACCTCTGACCTACCCCTGTCTGGACCGAGAGCCACCAGCAGGAATGAAATGTTACATATGTCTGGGATAAATGGCTTTGTCACCCTCGGAAAGCAGCGAGACAAGCCAGGAACTGAGGCTCTGTGCCAACTAACTAACTAGTGGGATAAGCGGCCTTGACTAATACTGGCCCGAGGGTGAGGCAGCTTGAATGTCCCCTGTAGGCTATCGCGCGATTTGAAAGTCACGCCAGAGAGGACAACTTCGTTACTGTGAAGAAGAACCACTATCTATGGATTTTGAGCCTTTGGCAATGATCCATATGTACTAAATTTCATCGCTTCATGCTCCTCAAAGCCTGTCACCGCGTCCCTCGCCCGGACCACCCCCAACAACATCGCCAAAGCCACCAGTCTGGGCCGGCTCACACCCACCAACAAATTCTTTTTCCGTTTTTGTTGCTTTTCTGGAAGCGCCTCGCAGCACCGTGCCCACTGTTACAAGGCCCAACTCGTCTGTCCCGGGAAGGGGAGCCAGGAAAGTGTAACCAATATACCCGAGACCGCTGCCATTTGTGTCTCGTCTT